CTTTAAAAAACAACAGCCAAACAAAAGGAACCCAGAGCTGCACAGGTGATTGTATACACTTAAGTCTAAGAAGGAATGGCTTCTGGGTGAGCATTGGAATCACATGGAGAGTTAGAAACCTCTGGTGCAGCAGAAACCAATGGTGCAGCAAAGATGGGTGGTATTTGAGCGTATCTGTGTCACCCGGGCCAGTGGTAATGGCACAGACTCTTCAGCTTCAGGGAGCCCAGGTCTCTATTACTCTGTTGATTCCAGTGCACATGGTTTGGGTTTGAAAATCCTTCATCTACAAGAGGGTCTTCCACTCTGCTGGTCATTGATATGTGTAGAAAATATTTCTGGGGCTTCTACCCCACCATTGACCATTCAGATCCTGAAATAAAGACCTTTATAGCAGTAAGGCTGGGCAGATATACCTTCTATGCTATTAAAACCTTTCTTTTCTTTTTTTCTTTTCTTTTTGTTTTTTGAGACAGGGTTTCTTTGTGTAGCCCTTGCTGTCCTGGAACTCACTCTGTAGACCAGGCTGGCCTCGAACTCAGAAATCCACCTGCCTCTGCCTCCCAAGTGCTGGGATTAAACGCGTGCATCACCACTGCCCTGCTAAAACCTATTTCTTATTGATAGCCCTGAGTTATTACTTACTATGTTTCATCTGGGCTGCTTTTAACTCCAGTTGGCCAGCCTTCATGGCCATGCTTTCTCGATTCCTAACCCATGGTATCTTCCTTCTCTCTCCACCTTCTTCTCTCTCTTTGACCTATGGCAAGCCCAGGAGCGCTAAGTCCCCCCATCTCAGTTCTGCCCAGCTATAAGCTGTGGGCATCTTTATTCACCAATCAGAAATAACTTGGGGGGAAGGTTAGATAGTGTCACTTGGGTTTATGTGCAGACTCTCATCTTGGGGGCGACCAGGTCTTGGGGGCCCGCACTTAGCATTACATACAATACATAACAACAGACCAAACCTCAACAGATGTGTATGCTGGGGTGCAAAGCTTGGCCCCCTTACATAACATTGATCTGCATCTGTGTCTGAACCCCATGTGCCTGTGGCATATCGGAACAAATGCTTTTATGAATACTTGCTTTTCATAAAGTGTCATTTTTGGTGTTTGCTCAAAGCTTTCTGGTTGCTATTTTTTTTTTATTAGTTGATGAATTTTTGGTCTTTGTTTCTCCCCTTTCTGATAGGTACATTAACATTCTGTTTTTTAAAGTTGCTAAGAAGTCTGCTAATGACAGCTTGTCACTTCAGTTTGTCTGTTCCTTAAGTTGCAAGTTGGAAAGCCTAAGGATCAGAATGTTCTGTAGTATGGAGGGGTGAGGCACAAGGGAAGCCCCACCTCCAGTTTCCTCACTCGACCCCATGGCAGTCAGCTGAGGAATGTTGGCACGGAGCCAGACAGCAAGGTGTCTGGAACATTCAGATCCCACTCATTCCGGACTTCAGGCTACTGGGTCAGGGGTGTTACATTTCATTACAGTACTCTACCTTAGGAGCTGGGGAAGAAACAGATACTAGGTGACTATTTTTGGTTTTTCTTTTAATTTTGTTTTGAAGGTCTTACTTTATAGCTCAGGCTAGCCTGAACTTCCTACATAGTTCAGGCTTGCCAAAAACTTATGGGAGCTGGGTACAGTGGGACACATGAGTAATTCCAGCACTCGGAGGACTTAGACAGGGTTCTAAGATGGAGGTTAGACTATGCTACATAATGATACCCTCTCTCAAAAGACCAAAAAAAGGAAAAAGTATTTTATGACGTGGAGGTTGAGCCCAGGGCTTCGTGCATATGCTCTGTTACTGAGCTGCTTACACTTCCTGCTCTAGTCTGTTGATGGGTTTTAAATGTTTGTTTGTTTTAGATTTATTTTTATTTTATGCGTATGAGTCTCTTGCATGTCTATCCACCATGTGTATGAGGCCAGAAGAGGGCATCAGATCCTCTGAGACTGGAGTTACAGATGGTTGTGAGCTGTTGTGTGGGTGCTGGGGATAGAATCCAGGTCCTCTGCAAGAGCAACACGTGCCCTTGACTTCTGTGCCACCTCTCTAGTCCATCTGCTGAGTTTTATTTCAGTTAAAACCTTTCGTTCTTGCATTCAGAAAGCTTCCAGTTGGCAGCTAGCCTTTGTTAGCTATTTATTTCTGGATATTCCATAAGAATTGACTGTGGCTTGGAAAATATATAAGGAGCAAATTCCACTTAGAAATTTTTTTTTAAAAATGTGTTCCAGAATTGCTTACTTTTCTGACTATAAACTCTAGTTTCAATCCATGTGTTACCTACAGTAAGATTTTAGGTATAAGGAGAAGCAAAAATAATTGTCTTAACCTGTGAAGACTAAAACAGCCAGTCTGTTGCTGTACCTGTCCACATAATGGAAAGCCTGAAATCAAAAGTAACTGTGTGATGACTGTAGCTGACTGATTGATGAGTGCATGGCTATACTGAGTTGGAGAGAGAGAGAGAGAGAGAGAGGAACCTGTCTCAAAAAACAAAACAACCATAAAACAAACGAACAGGAGGCCTGGTGATGAATCTTAGTGGTTAGAGATTCCCAGCACCTCATAAACCACATCTGTGATCTGAGTACTTTGGAGGTGAAGGTAGAGACGTGGTGGTGGTGGGGGGGGGTGGAGGGTTAGGGTGAGGTGGAGGGCAGGGGATTTGGGTCAGAAATTTAAGGTCAGTCTCAGCTCCATAGCAAGCTGGAGGGTAGCCTGGGACACATGAGACCTTGTCTTAAGAAAGAAAACTGTGTGCTGTGGGGATGGAGTGATGAACACATATATACGCCTTTATGGAAATTAGCCTGTATGGTCTCCCTGGCAGCAGAGAATAAGCAATAATGGACTGATGGGTTTAAAATTACATATATGCCTGTATTTATATACTGTGTAAGTCATAAAACTGGAAAGATCATGGGAAGGAAGGGAGAGAGCTTAAGGGAAAGGAGAAGATAATGTTGGAACACGTGACTGAATGCAGCCGGGTGAGGGGAGGAAGGCAGGCAGGGGAGGGCGGTGGGAGAGGGTGAATTAGAACAAAGTCTGAGCTGCATAAGCTCAGATGCTGTGACCAAACCCATCAGGTTCTGTGCTAACTTTCAAAAACTAAGTTACAAGAAGATTTAAAAATTTTTATGTAACTACTTCTGTGTTGGAACGTATCCTTTAGGGCAAACTAAAACCATGCTTCTCATCACTCATTTGGCTTAGAATAAACTATTTCTCAATTTATTAAAGGAAAGGAAAGGAAAGGAAAGGAAAGGAAAGGAAAGGAAAGGAAAGGAAAGGAAAGGAAAGGAAAGGTAGGGAAGGGAAAGGAAGAAAGAAAGAAAGAAAGAAAGAAAGAAAGAAAGAAAGAAAGAAAGAAAGAGAAAGAAAGAAAGAAAGAAAGGCAAAGGAAATGAATAACAAAACGAGAAAGAACAGCCAAGAAAGAAGGCTTGCCAGGAGGTGTCTTGGGTGGAGGTTCTCCCTGATGCAGTAGGGAAGGAGAGGCTCTAGCCTGGTCCTTCCTAACCTGGTCCTTCCTGGAATGATCTTTCCTGTAAACTGTAGAAAACCCTGAGCAAGTAAAGGCTCTCTCGATTTCACCTGAAGCAAAAGTGCACCTGATGCCATGCCCAGCAGAAAGTGCTCTAGGAACAGGTCTGCTCTGTGAGGAAACTGGAGCCTCTGCCATTTAGGACAAAAGATTCACGGATGGAAATATCTCCTCCTGGTGTGAGTCAGCCGGCTTGGTTACCTTTTCATCACGGTGATAAAATGCCCTGACAAAAGCCACTTAAGCTCTTTCTGCTGTCTTCCCTCAATGCTGTAATGGCACTCTTGAGTGTCCCAGCTGATGCTCTTAAAACATCAACGATACCGAAAAAGAGAGGCCGTGCTCCAAAGCCATTGTCTGGCTGCTAGTTGCAATGAGGAAGCGTGGTGACTTTGGCAAGAGTGGAGTCACCACTGATCTCAGAGCTGGGAAAGTCACTGTAACCTCACAAGCAGGTTCAACAAGTGTGGGGCAACCAGCCCAGATCTGATGTGCCGTTCAGAGACCTGGAAAACCAGCCAAACTTTTTCTAGGGTTCTTATACATGTAAATAAGATGCCTGAGTGACAAACATTAAAATGAGAGAGGAGAAGAAAAAAGCAGTTTACAGGTGAACATGAAAGTGGTTGTCTAGGTTTACAGCCGCAGAAAAGTATAGTCCGTGTTCGCAGGGAACACACTGTGGCAGGGACAGGAAGTTGGCTTTATGCGAACACCTAGAAAGAAGTGAGTGCACAGGAAGTAGGCCTTGTTCTAAATCTGTTCTACCCGAATTCTAGCTTCCTGTGAGGGTCTACCTCCTAACGATTCCACAAACAGCACCAGCACTTGGGGACCAATACTCTAAGTGAGCCTACAGATGTTAGGGCATGTCACATCCGCCCCCCAGCAGTGCTGGCTTGCTCTGCTCTCCCATACTCCCAACAGTGGAGCAGGCTGCATTCAAACCTAGCTTCTCACTGGTGGTGGGAACAGAAGGATGTTGCCTGGGAGGGCTCAGGTGAGGAAGTATGCTCGGGGACTGAGGTCTAGTAATGCATGTAGACCTGTGACTAGCATGGAAAGCAGCAGTTGAGCCCTGATCCAAAGGTCCTCAGAGGAGACTGCTGCTTCAGATCCAGGTGACAAGTTTACTGAAACATAAGAGAAAGGTTTGGTCAAGAAGCATGAGACTCAACACCAGGCCTGCCAAAGGTTTCCTCTCAGCCTCAAGGTGTTTGCTCTACGGCAAGACAAATGCTTAAATTGAAGACTCGGGAGCGTGCAAAAAGCTGATGGTAGCTGGGTGAAGAGTTAAGTCTTTTGGGGAGTTGTAGCAGAGTGGCAAGGGGGAATTTTCACCCCTTTGAGGGATGAGTAAGGAAAGGTTGGAATCTGAGAGGGATTTGGTGTTTGGAAAGTAATGCTGTGTAACTTTGTTTTCCCCCTTGGCCATGCACCTAGCGTGTGTCAGTTCCTGGAGCTGTGTCAGAGCCCAGACGGTGGCTTTGGAGGGGGCCCAGGTCAGTACCCACACCTCGCTCCCACGTATGCGGCCGTCAACGCGCTGTGTATCATCGGCACGGAGGAGGCTTACAACGTCATTAACAGGTAAAGCTGCGGGCCTCCGTGCTGGAGACTCCAGCCCCCCCCCCCATACTGTACGGCACTGACCATCACCCTCTCTGCCCTCTCCCCGTTCTCAGAGAGAAGCTCCTTCAGTACTTGTACTCCCTAAAGCAACCAGATGGCTCTTTTCTCATGCACGTCGGAGGTGAGGTGGATGTAAGGTGAGTGGACGGTTGCATCCATGGCTGCTAAAATGTTCCTATTCTTAGGAGCTGCTAAGCCTCATGGCAAAGTGCTGCTTTGTCCCATATGCCGATGTGCAAATGCTGTGTCCCTGGCACAGTGTCATGGTCATTGCTAATATGACACTAATGTCCCCAGGCGTCATTATCTCTCAGCTTCTTTCATGTAAATGGCAGCATATGAGTTAGATAAAAAAAAAATCAAATGCTTTTGATTTAGAAATTACAAAATACATTTGTTTGGCGTATAATAGTTTACTATAAGTAATTGCATAGTGTAATATAAGCTGTCTCCTCTCTTGGAGAAACAAGCCTAGAGTACTTACTTTCTGGTTGCATTTGATGAAATCCTGAGGGTGCTGAACCCCCAAGGCACATGAGAGTTTCTCTGTGGGGTGCAGAGTTCCTTGTGGGCCAGCACACTGAGGTATAGTGGACTTGAACCAAGCTGCATTTTACTCAGGAACTGTATCTTGCTAGGTATGGTGGTCTGTGATCAATATCTCAGCTCTTGGGAAGCAGAGGCAGGTGGATTGGGAGTTCAGTGGCATTCTTGGCTACATAATGATTTCAAGGCTAGCCTGGGCTATATGAGTGGATTAAAAAGAAGAAAAGGGAAATAGATGCCGGGGAGTGGTGTTGCATGCCTTTAATCCCAGCACTTGGGAGGCAGAGGCAGGCAGATTTCTGAGTTCGAGGCCAGCATGGTCTACAGAGTGAGTTCCAGGACAGCCAGGGCTACACAGAGAAACCCTGTCTTGGAAAAAAAAAAAAAAAAGGGAAATAGATATCCTAATTATACCAGCAAGTAGCTTCCTGACCTGCGGGCAATCCATCAATGAGGCATATAAAGAGTTTACTAAATAAGTAATTTTTTAAATGCAGTGGATCACTGAAATTGTATATTATGTAGTCTAGGAAAAATATATTTTTGGGAGGAGATGAAGTTTTTATATCAAAATGACAGAGATATCGTTTTTGTGTGTGTGTGTGTGTGTAGCCCTGGATGTCTTGGAACTTATTGTGTAGACCAGACTAGTTTTTTTTTTGTTTTTGTTTTTGTTTTTTTGTTTTTTTGTTTTGTTTTGTTTTTTCAAGACAGGGTTTCTCTGTGTAGCCCGGGCTGTCCTGGAACTCACTCTGTAGACCAGGCTGGCCTCGAATTCAGAAATCCACCTACCTCTGCCTCCCAAGTGCTGGGATTAAAGGCGTGGGCCACCACCGCACAGCAACCAGGGTAGTCTTGAACTCTATTATAGACGTCTGCCCTGCCTCCCCCCAGTGTCTGGCCTCACAGTGGCTTTTTGAGTATGATCTTCACAGTGGTGCGCTAGCTGTATAGCTTTTGGTCTAAGTATTACACTTTTGGCACGGTTAGCGTGGTATCTGGCTCACAGGGTAAGGCATTTATAGTAGTACAAGCTTTAGAACCTAAGTTTGGTCCCTGGTAGAATGAGAGAACAGACTCCACAGAGTTGTCCTCTGACCTCCACACACGTGCTGTAGCACGTGCACACCCCACCTGCCATCACAGACACACGATGAGGATGATGATGGTGATGATGGTGATGGTGATGATGATGGTGGTGATGATGATGGTGATTTTTAAACAATCTCAAAGAAAGTAGGCCAACCAGCTAGGCTCTTACAGGGCACTAGTGGCTGAGGTCTGAAAATAGAGGTCTGTTTTGAAGCCCTGGGAAGTTTCTACACCAAGAACTGAAAAGAGATTTTGAGAACAAGCTCAGAGGATTTCTGATAGCATCTAATTTCACCAAGTGACAGTACCAGGCTATAATGATGCAGCCTGGGCACCCCTCCAGGAGAGGGTACACTCTTGAGTGGCTTATGTTGTCAGTTGTTTCCTGGGGCCTTGAATTCACAGGCAGTCTGCTTTTGGCTGAAGCAGATGAAGAGACTTCCTTACCTGCTGTCTTAGGTAAGGTCTGTGCTGTGAAGAGACTCCATGGCCGTGGCAGCTCTTATAAAGGAAACCATTATACTGGGGCTGGCTTACAGTTCAGTGGTTTAGTCTGTTATCATCACGGCAGGAAGCATGGTGGTGTGCAGGGAGACATGGTGCGTAGAGTAACTGAGAGTTCTGCATCCAGGTTGGCCTGCAGCAGGAAGAGAGAGGGAGCTACTAGGCTCGGTTTATGCTTCTGAGATCTCACAGCCCCTAGTGATGCACTTCCTCCGACAAAACCACTCCTGCTAATATGCCACTCACCATAGACCCATGCTGGTCATTTTTATTCAAACTACGGCACCTGCCTTGACTTTAGGGCAGAGCTTAGTCAAAGGCTACACTGTTGTTAGAGAATCCTGGCAGCTTACACGGGAATTTAGTTTTTATGAATTGAGGCTGGGCATGGTAGCACACCCAGAACATGCAGCATTTAAGAGGCTGAGGTAGGGAGTGAATTCAAGGCCTGCCTGTTGTACTTACAGAAACCTGATGTCAAAACAACTGGACGTGGTGGTGCACACCTTTAATCCCAGCCCTCCAGAGGCAGGGCCAGGCAGATCTTAGAGTTCCAGGCCAGCCAAGATACAGAGACCTTGTCTCAAAGGACCAGATGACATCAACAACAAAAGTAAAAAAGAAACTGAATGAGACTGGGCACAAAGCAAGCAAATCGTGGCAAGGTCCATGGTGTTTCGTTAGCAAACTAGCTTTAGATATTGTTCTCTAAGTTTCCAAAATGCAGTCTTTCTCTGTGCTCGTGTTCATATTTGCTAGAGAAATGCAGGGAAACTGCTTCCCGTCAATCCTCTGTGTTCCATTAAGGAGTGCCGGGTCATCATCTTCCCCTACTGTGGGCCTGGGGCACAGACCGAGCCTACAGGTATCATTTATACAGTGGATGGAAGATCAAGCTGATAGCAAACCTCAGTCTCCCTGTCTTGTCTGGCTCCTAGAACATGACTCCCATAGTTTTTCACTCCATATTTCTCTGTTTTTCCTTTGCCTAGAAGCATCAGCCACTCAGGAGAGAAAATCAAAACCAGAGACAGTTTATCACTTAGAGGGCAGCTCATTCCAGTGCCTGAACAGACAGAGATGGTCTCTTGATCCTTGGGGCCTAGACCAACTCCCTGTAGTTTCTAAGAATGCCTTACTCAGGTGTTGATAGCTTCTGGGTACCTCAGAAACCTGCGATTAACAGCTAAGAAAGGAACCACTGTTAGCTGGGCCTGGCCTGTAATATCAGACTCCTACTCAGAAGACTGAGCAGAATTATAAATTAAAAGCTAGCCTGGCAACTTTGAGATCCTGTCTCAAAATAAAAAGTAAAATGAAAGATTGACATGCAGCTCTAACTTAGAGCATTTACTGCATATATCTGAAACACCAGATTCAATCCCTAGTACTAGAAAAACAAACAAAAAAGGGGGCCATTATTTATTCATTTTTATTTATTCATGAATTAACTATGACATTTGTAGTATTTTCTGGGGAGAGAGGAGAGACAAGTGACAGAGCAGGATGTGTTCAAGGGATGAGAAGTTAGCTGACAGCTACTAAGGTGTAGGAGGCCTGTGGGCACCTGGGAGCAATGAGCTGGGACAGGCTGGGGACAGATTGAGGAGCCCCTGAGCTTGCATTACAGAGACTGGCAAATAAATTCTTATGGGTTTTAAGTAGGCAGTGATATGAGCTGACTTGTACTTTCCTAGTTCTCTGGTTACAGTGAATGAATTATGGTGTTCCAGTCATGTCCCCTGGTTTCTGGACTGGAAGGAGGAGGGAGAGAAACAGGAGGTTGATCCAGGTGATAATGGCTTGGTTTGGATGACAGTGGTAAAGAGAAGACAAAGGCAGACAAGCCTGAGAGCTGTGGTGCTAGATCTGGGGACAGGAGGAAGCTGCATGGAAAGTTATGCCTGGTTCCCTCCCCAGCTCTGTGTGTCTGGGACCTGTGGTTTGGGTATCTGTTGTGTGACTTTTCTTGGGAGTCTATTTCTGTCCCTCTCGGATAGAGAGGGCAACAAGAGGTAACGAAAATTCCATCCAGGTCCTGCTTGGTGAACCATTGAATGCACTGGAGTTGTTCATAGAGCATGGGAGACAGGCAGCTGCATCACCAGAACCCACGGTGATGGTCACAGAAGCTGCATCTTAGGAGCTCCCAGTCAGTCTTGTACATCCCAGGCACTCTGAAACCACAGGCAGCTGAGTCAGGAAGGAGTGAGAGACTGGAGTCTCAGCTGAAGATCTAAACATCCTTTCCTCCCCTTCTCTAACAAGGAAGCATTAGTGGGCTTAATCTCCTGAGTATCACGTGGGTAATCATAAATGCTCTGATTTGGGGATGACAACAGCCATGTCATCCCCAGGGGGACAGAATTCCACAACACCCGAGCCCTTCTCCTGGGTTTTGTATTCTTATATTCTTTTCTGCAGTGATCCCTGAACCTTGGAGTTAGATAGATGTATGATTACCTGCTGAGCACTGGGCTGCTGTATCTAGGCAACAGTACAGAGCACAGCAAGACATTTGCAACAGTTTGACCAATCACGAGTCTCTTTAGACAAATGTGTAGCCGGTAAACTGGTAAAAGCTAAAGATAAACTATTTAACAAAACAGTAGCAGTAGCCTTCCTGCCTGCACGGGGTTTTGTTGTTGTTGTTGTTGTTGTTGTTGTTCTGCCCTGTTTTACAATTTTTACAATACCCAGCATAGTTTCCCTCCATTGAAAAAGTAGTTGGTTGTACCCAAAACAGTGGTACCATTGCTTCACCAGCAGGCACATTTTGCCTGTCAGGTTGATGACATTAACACACAGAGTGCATAGCCAAGCAGGCCTGTTGGTGACAGTTTTCTCCCGGCAGCCAGCATAGTGTCTTGTGGCACCACGAAAAGCAACCAGTGGGCTTCTAGCTCAATCCCAGCTTGATCCCTCCATCTTCTGCAGCCAGAGAATATGGTGTTTTCAGCAGTAGGGTCTTACCATTCAGCTACATACCACTAGTATGTAACCACTAGTAACATGGCCTGTATAGTGGGACTTTAGGGGTCTCCCTTGCCAGTAACATAGAAGGAGATACCTCCACACCCAGGATGCATTGGAACTCTTTACCTTCCGTTTTCCTGTTCTTCTAGGTGTCTTTCCGAATCTGTGGAGAGCCTAGAAGTTAACATTGTGTCACATGCAAAAGGAAGTCTTTTCACAAAGTGGGGACAGGATCTCCAAATGCCTACCATGGACAGCTGTTTCAAGCAAGTGAGAATAGGTTTTAGGATTTAGTGGCTAGGGAAATATTTTTTAAAACTGTTAATGAGATTCAAAAGATCCCATTGCTTTGTTTGTTTGAGACAGGGTTTCTCTGTGTAGCCTTGCTTGCTATCCTGGAGCACACTCTGTAGACCAGGCTGGCTACAAGCCTGCCCCCGCCTCCTGAGTGCTGGGATTAAAGGCATGTTTGACTTTGATCCCATTGCTTGTATAAGTAGTTTCTTCCAAAGAGCAGTGTTGGATTCAGGAGTGCATGTGGAGGCACGACCTTCTTTAACTCACTGTATCCACAGTCATTCTCCATGAGCCAACTTCTTCATCTTGCGGTACTGCCATAGGTCACATGCACGCCTACCCATGCCTGGTGGGCTGGATAGAACCGTCTTGTGCTGTAATGCCCAGCCTAGGGCCAAGAGGTAGCAGTACTGCACTCTTGCTTATCACACTTGCTGTTTGACTGGGGTTCCTGGGTTTGGCAAGCTCCAGGACTGATCCTAATTCCCTGCCATCAGGCTGGCTGTTCCAAGAATCCTGGGTTGGGTAGAGAATCTCTACTCCCAGTGTATTTTCAAGGGGAGAATGTACATAGCATTGTGGGGGATGATTGCCCACCCCAGCAAGAGTTTTACTTACATTGTTCTGTCTTTGTATCAGTCCACTGACGTTCATTGCCCTCTGACCCTCGGGGCTGCCAGGAACTGGGGCAGCTCATGGTTCAAGCTAGCATCTTTGCACATTAGAAGAGGGCCAGTAAATCCTCAATTCAACGTGGGGCACTTAGTTGTCTTGCAAGGCCCTTGTGTGTGAGCAGCATTGGCCACCATGTTAGGGAAGTGGCTGTGGCAGTTCTCACCCTCAGGACTCCTTCCCCCATAGCAGTGGGCACACTGGGGTCACCCGTCCCTCATCCACCTCTTTGGACAACTGTTGTTCAAGCTTCTAGACCAGCTCTCACCCTTCCTAACTCTGTGACCCTTTAATACCGTTCTTCATGCTGTGCTGACCCCCAGCCTTAACATTATTTTCGTTGCTACTTCACAGCTGTGATTTCGCTACTGTTATGAATTCTGATGTAAGCATCTGTGTTTTCTGATGGTCTTAGGTGATCTCTGTGAAAGGGTTGTTGGACCCCAAGGGGATCTTGACCTACAGGTTGAGAAACACTATACTAGAAGTTCACAAAGTATTTGGTTTTCTGTCAGCTTTTCTTATGAACTCCATGTGAACACAGATTTTTGCCTCATTTGCTTTCAAGTGACCTGGACACAAACAGGCCATTTTATCTGTTTTTTCTTTTTCGAATCTCCTCTTGATGGCTTTAGCCCTTTACAAACCAAATGGCCGTGCCAGTCTAAATTACCCAGGTCCGCCAGCACCTCTCTTACCTCATAAAGATCATGACCCAGCACGGACACTGGCAAGCCTCAAATGCCCCATAACCCCTTACCAGTCCCAAGGTGCCCACTGCTTTAACGTCCTTCTTAGCTCCCTGCTGAACACAGAGCTCTCATGCTCCACTCTCCAGTGCTTCCTTCCCCCACTGTCATTCCTACCTTGTTTCCCTGTTTGATTCTTCCCACGAGTTCCAGATTCTTGCAATTGTACAGATCCATTGTTTGCCCCAGCCATAAGCAGTGGCAAGCCAGCACCTCCATTTCATGTCTTTATCCAGGTTACAGCATCCTGATGGAAGGAAGGCTAACGTGGAGTACAACACCCACATGCCCAGTTCCCACTCTAACTCCTCCCTCATGTGAGCAAATTCCACCCTCGGGCAGACAGCTCAGTTTCAGCTGATGTCTTCTCAGCCTTGGTTTTCTTGCAGTCCTATTCTGTCTGTACATGGAGTCAGGGGTCGTAATAAATGATGGTTCTTGAGTCCGTCAACCATCCGAGGGGGTCTCCAATGCAGACTTCAAGGAGCCTGTCACCCTGTGTCACGTCAAGGAGTGTAGAGGAGGACAGTTCCCCTGGGATCTCTCCTGCAGACTTTGGGTACTGAAGTTCCCTTTGGGGTAGACAGCTCAGCTTCTGTTTCATGTCTTACATCAGTATGGGGGAGAAGCCCCCACTTGCTTTTCCCGCATGGAGACACGCTTATCCATACCACATGGGGGAAGATGGACGAATTGGGACTACCCCCATGTATGCTCTCCCCTCAGACAGCTCAGCCTCAGTTGCTAGCCCATCTCCCTTAGCAGAGGCCCTGTAACTGCATTCCCCCCAACTCATCTCTGGTTCTGTTTATCCCCTGTCCAGCCACTAGTTGTTGATTGCCTCATCCTGGGAGGTGGATTTCTGTTCACCCTCAACTGAGCAGCAATAACAGACCAAAGAAACAATTTAGTCATGATAGCTGTCTCATTTGAATCCTCACGTGAGTCGGTCTTCTACCTCCTACCCACTCTCTGGCACCTAAGACCATGTACAGCTCAGGTCAGGGGAAGCAGGTTTCAGAAAAGGAGTGGCTGGCATCTCCAATAAGGGTCTGATGCCCCTCCCCCACCTTCCTCCTACACAGGAATATTAATAGACACTATCTTGTGAGGATCTATTGAAGTCATCACAACTGTTCTGATTTCAAGACTGTAGCAAGCCATGTCACACCCGGAGGACAGAATTCCACAACTGCCTCCCTTGTCAGTTCTGATGAAAGGCAGACTGCATTACAGGCCCCCTCCCTGCCTCATTAGGATTCAAGAGCCTCTGAAAACACTGCTGAGCCTTTGTGAGTGACTCAAGGCCTGGAGGAAATTAGATCATACCTTCAAAGTTAGCATATGGCAACCGACAGCCACAGCATTTGGCCCTCGCACGCTTGACTCGTGTGTACTCTGGATGCTTGCTGACGAAACTCAGCTTTGCTGTGCCTTTGGCCAGTGGGAGCCTGGCTGGTCATAGTGCTGACAGGACAGTCATGCCCATGGCTTCTGCAGAGATTTCTGTAGAGTGCCTCAGTAAATGTGGCTTCATGTTAAGTCTGTACACAGAATAAGACGGGAGCCAAGCTTTCTTTTCCATCCCTCTCCTGTTCCTTCTGAGCTCTTAGAGAAAGGATTTGTGAGTAGAATTCAAATGGGTAATTTTTGTCTTTCCACGGTGGGTATTGGAAAAGACAGTCTGGCTGTGTTCCATGACAGGTGGAGAAGATGAAAGGATGTCCTGAGAATTATGACTGAAAAAAAAGAATAAGATTATCTCAAATCAAACGGATATATTTTATTTTACTTGCTCATTTTCAGATAGGAGCTAGAAATACAGCTTGGTGGGAGGGAATGTTCATGGTATGTACAAAGCCTAGAGTTAGATCCCCGGAATTACCCTGTCCAAAAGACAGGTTTCTAACTTTTTTCTTTTTTTCTTTTTCTTTTTTTCCCCCCAGTTGAAACAGTATCTCATATATCTCAGGCTAGCCTCAAGCTTGCCCTGTAGCTGAGGATGACCTTGACCTTGTGATCCTCCTGCCTCTGCCTCTTGAGTGTCAATAGAACATGCACTTCCATGACCAGTTTTGGGGATCAAACCTGGGGCTTTGTGCATGCTTTTCCAACGGAGCCACATCCCAAGTGCTGTTCCTGCTTTTTTGCTGAAAGGTGTGTTTCTGTATGTCTGATGACAGTGCTTGAAATCAGAGCTCTTTCCTCTAGAGGCGTAAGGATGTACCTATTCCTGTCTCCCTTGTGTGGCACAAGCAGCTATTCGAGTTTGCTGGCCTGCTTTGGAGTGAGTCTGTCAGAGGAAATGTAGCGCTAACCTTTTACACACATTCCTATTCCAGACAGAGATTCCTGAGTCTGCAGCAGTGAGACATCTGAACAAACCTCATCAACACCGCATGAGATGGTGGGAACCGTTGTAGGTCTTTGGAAAAAGGGCTCAATCTATTTTGAGATCAATCGATATGGCCATCGATTCTGAGGATGTAGGTCTGCCTGCAGAGACAGAGAGATTAGAATGTCATGTTCCTTCACCGAAGCTGTGTTGTGAGCAACTCTATCTGACAGAATGTCACACCTCCCGGAGACCCAGGAAGAATAGCTGTGTGCCAAGAACTGCAGTAATGTGCCCAGGCACTTTTCTGAGCCTCGATCTGGCTCTTCCTTGGAGCCTCACGTGTTTCCCTGTGTTTCTGTCTTTGTAGGAGTGCGTACTGTGCCGCCTCGGTAGCCTCTCTCACCAACATCATCACTCCAGACCTCTTTGAAGGCACGGCCGAATGGATAGCCAGGTGAGAGAAGTCACATGGTCCCTAGTCCTCAGAGAGCAAGCAGCCAAGAAGCATAAAAACTTAAAAGTCCAGACGGGAGTATAAAATTATAAGAGATGTCTTAGGGGTTCTTTGCTGTGCCCTCTTATAAGTACTTGAGATTATTTTTAGACTTCCATTAATGTGTATTATAGTTTATAGTGGCACAGATCAAACTTTTGGTGAGTAGCACTGGTGAGAGTCTAAATTGATTAAAGCAGTTTGGCAATATCTCAAAACACCCTTGCTTATGAAACCCAGGAACTTCACTCCTACAGAAACTCACCCACGTGCATAAAAGAGACAAAGACTCGTTTATAAGAACAAAACACTGGAAACAGGACTGGGTATGGTGGCCCTTGGTACCCACATGGTAATCACAGCATTCTGGAGGCTGGGGTAGGAGTTCAAGGCCATCTTTCACCCCATCTTGTGTTTCAGGCTAGCCTGGGCTACAAGAGACCCTTTTAAAAATAGAAAACAAAAGGCACATGTATATGCGCCTGTGTGTGTGTGTGTGTGTGTGTGTGTGTGTGTGTGAGAGAGAGAGAGAGAGAGAGTATATATGTGTGCGTATGAGTGTGTGCATGTTTATTTGTGAATGTGTGTGTGTTTGTGTGAGAGTGTGTATGTGTGTGCGTGTGTATGTGAGTGTGTGTGTGCATGTGTATGTGAGCATGTGTGTTCATGTGTATGTGAGCGTGTGTGAGCATGTGTGTGTGTATGTGAGCATGTGTGTGCATGTGTGTGTGTGCATGTGTGTGTGTGTGTGTGAGTGTGAGTGAGTGTGTATGTGAGTGTGTGTGTGTTCTGGGTCGGCCTCCCTCCCCCCAGCCCTCCCCTCTCCCCTTCCTGCTTTAGATCTAGACAGGTTGCGCTCAGCTTGATGCACAGCAGGCATCTAGAAGCTTCCTTCCAGCATGAAATTCACTTCATTTTTCTGCTTTGTTGCAGCCCTGTTTTATTATCATCTTCATTCATTTTAATAAAGCATAATGCTTCCAAAGTTCTCAGAAAAGGACACCTAGGAGGTGCATTTTGTAAGCTTGCTTGGTGGCCTGTCTGGTTGGAGGTTAATAAGTTGGCAATGGTGTAGACTGTATTTGTCTGAATTCTGTAAGCGTTGCTTCATTGTCTTCTGACTTTGCGTGTCATCATCGGTGGATCTGATTTCCACAGTAACTAACAGTCTGAGGGCACCGTAGACCAATGGTAGTGCTGAGACTGAAGCTGAGCGCTCCCTGGATTTGCTTCTTTTTAGTGCTCTGTTTCTCAGTTGAGATAGCCCGTCTTTTTATGCCTTCCCAGTATGCTTTTCTTCACTTCCTGTGGCAAATAGATAATTATTATTATCTGCTTAGAAACCCTTGGGGAACATGGTCTGGTCCCTGCTGCTCTGGAGGGTAAGTCAGAGAGATCCATTGAGTACAGGAATTCAAGACCAACCAGTCTGGACAACATAGTGAGACCCAGTCTCAAAAGGGTGGTATGTGTAAGAGGTGTGTGTGTGTGTGTATGTGTGTGTGTATGTGTGTGTGTATGTGTGTGTGTGTTCATTTATTAAGAGCACTGCCTGTTCTTCCAGAGGACCAGTGTTTAATTCCCAGCAATCCATAGTAGCTTACATCTGTCTGTAACTTAATTTCCAGGGGATCCAATACCTTCTAATGGCCTCCATGGGCATGTGCTATGCATGTGGTGTACAGGCATTCATGTTAGGCAAACACCCATACATGTAGAATAAAATAATCAAATAAAAATTTAAAAGCCCATCAGTAGGTCTTTTCAACATGAGTATCTTATATTGGACATGTCTCATTTTCCTGGGTGTTCATGTATTGAGTAGCTTTAGACGGTGTCCTAGACATGGTGGCTGGTTTGTTGTAGAGAATGGATTCCAGGCCGGGCAGTGGTGGTGCACACCTTTAATCCCACCACATGGGAGGCAGGCGGATTTCTGAGTTCGAGAGTTCAAGGCCAGCCTGGTCTACAGAGTGAATTCCAGGACAGCCAGGGCTATACAGAGAAACCCTGTCTCGAAAAACAAAACAAAACAAAAAAAAAAAAAAAGAGGATAATGGATTCTGTTAGATTGCTTCAAAGGATGTTTTTGTTTTTAGCAGACAGGCCACTTAGTCAGACTCACACTGTAAACTTCAAACAGTGCTCTGCCCTGCCGTGGGTGGTGGCTCAGATCTCAGATTGGTTTTGATTCCAAGCTGCTCGGTTTACCCAGTGTCTGTGCTTTCAACGTAGAAACTTGAGCTGAATTTGGGTTTTTCCATTTCTGACTCTTTTGGCTTGTCCTCACTTTCTAGTAGCCTGTTTCTTCCTGCTAAAGATGGTGGCTTTCTATTAGATTCAGCTGCCCTGCCCTGCCCTAAGACCCAGGCTGCCACTGCCACCACCAGGGTACTATGGCTATCCATGGCAAACCAGAAGGAAAAAAGAGAAGAATGATAAGGTAGAATAGAAGGCCTGGCTCTCTGCAGTTGTCGGCTCTAAGTTTTAATGCCACATTGAATTCCCTGTACCTTTCCTTTGTCTGCCAGGCCTAGGAGATGTTCTGCACCGAGTAGGAGTGTCCAGCCCAGTCTTCAGGAGGACTCTCTAGCAGGACACTCACTGAACCAGTCTGTTTACAGCTAGCTTTGTGCCTTGGACACGTTATTTCACATTTGTCAAATGGTGGGATGTTAAATTGTATACATATTTGGAACACACCAGATTCAAGTGAGTTAGCCTGTGGTGATAACCTTAGTGCCTGCCACCGTGCCAGGCCATCAAAACGCCCAGTTCCTGGGCATTTGTTTTGTTTTCTCTTTATCCGTCATCAGTGCCCCATGCACCTGACCTTGAGAATCTCTGTTAGTGCTGTTTGGATACTTTGGGGTGATGAGCCTCGGCGTGGATCAGTTTCCCTGTGTACTAGGCACTCAGCAGGCCTCTCATTTGGAAGCACTGTTTCATGACCAAGAAATCACATTGCAGTATTTTCTTTGGCAACTTCTCCTTCTTTGTTTTTATTTTTGAAACAAGGTCTCAGTGTGAACCCAAGGCTGATTGGTACTACTGGCCGGCCATCTTGCCTTGGTTTCCTGAGTGCTAGGTTTACAGGCATATGCCAACCTAACTCGGCATACTCCTTTTACAGCATCTTTTACAGAAGTCTTAACTCATCTTGAAAGACTTTTATCAAATTTGTTTTTAGACACGTTGTACATATATATAGTGCCTTCTAGCTACTGTAACCCACCTGCTTCTCTCCCCCAGTCCTCACCCTTTCTTATCTCCACCCCCCACCTAGTCCCCACCCTCTCTCCAAGTCCCTTTCCCACATTCATGTCTTTTTGTTTTGTGACTCACTGAGTTTTCCCAGGGTTGTCTGCGTGACCACAGCTGTGAGGACATCCACTGGAGCTGGGTGGGTTCCTCAATAGGTACACAGCTCAAGACAATGGTCATTCCTCCCCCCAGAATCCATCCATAGCCAGCTGTTCAGTTGGGAGGGGTAGGGCCTGGTAAGCTCCTCCCCCACATCCGTGACGTAGCATTGGCAGACCCAGTCCTGTGCAGGTCCATTGCAGGTCCTGTGAAATCATGACTGCAGTGGTTGTGTTCTGCCTCCCAGCACTTCACAGGCCTTCTATGGTCTCTGAGCTGTAGAGGGCCGCATCAATGTCCCGTCAAAGAACGAGCGCTCCACACTCCAGCACCTTGGCCAGCCGTACACATTTGCGTTCACCACCATTAACCGAGACTTAATGTTTTTAAAGCCCACTGAGAGTCTGTTCCCTATCTCTTAACTTTTTCTTGTATTTTCCCAGAGCTTTCCTTACCATTTACTCATTCGCCCTTCTGCTGTTTTATTCCCCAATCTTACTTTTAATTTTCCAGAGTTTGGTTTTCCTCTCTCAAATACTTATTTTTTATATTCTCTGCTGCTCTGCTATCTTTGCAACTTCCTTCACACGGTATCATCTAAGACACAGCATTAAGGGGCCACAGAGATGGCTCAACAGCTAAGAACACTGCTGCTCTGCCAGAGGCTGTGGGTCCCACCCCAGCACTCACGTGGCAGCTTCCAGCCTTCTATAATTCCAGTGCCAGGGGATCTGACTCCATTTTCTGGCTTCCACAGGGACTGCACATGGTATACAGGCATACATGCAGGCAAAACATTCATACACACACACACACACACACACACACACACACACACACACACACAAAACCTTTAAAACATAAAAATAAGATGGAACTTTAAGCAGTTTTCTTCTGTGCCCAGCTTGTCTCCTCCACCTTGTCTTTGAGGCTAGGTCTCTTTTCCATATGGAGCTGCTTCCTGTATCTGGTGCTTAGCAACTCTGTCCATGCTGCCTCTCATACTGAAAGGCTGATGAGAGCCTGCACACACACTGAGCTAAGGCCTGCTGTTTTTCAGGGAATTCTCAGGGACCAATATCTGATGAAGGGCTTTGTTCTTGAGCTTTCAAATTCCTGCCTAGGGTGTGAACCTGGCAGGCTTGTTATGAATTACAAGTAGAGAAAAGGTGAGGTGTTGGTTCTGTGTAGTGGCCTCCCACTGATCCCTCCTGCTTTCTGCTGTGGAAGCTGGGATTCAGCACTCTCCTCCCTTTTTGGTAGAAGTGTAGATTTTAGAGGTAGGTGGATAGGATGGATAGATAGATAGATAGATAGATAGATGGATGGATGGATAGATAGATAGATAGATAGATAGATAGATAGATAGATAGATAGACAGAGAGACTGCGGGAGACAGAGTCAGAGAGAAGAGGAGAGGAGAAAGGAGAGAAACAGAAAGAAAGAGGGAGAGTGTGGAGACTGGGCCTGGCATGGGATTTTGAAACCTCAAAGCCTACCCCCTGTGACACACCCACTCCAACAAGGCCACACCTCCTAATCCTTCTCAAATAGTGCCACACCCTGGTGACTAAACGTTCAAATACTTGAGCCTATGGGGGCCATTCTTATTTAAACCACCATAATACTCAGACCTGGTCTTGCTCTTGGCTGCTGCTGCTTCTTTCCCACCACCCCAGACCCAAGGAAGGTTTCTCTAACCGCCCATTTAGGTACTCTTAGCCTCTGTGCATGTCATTCAGCTTTTAGGATTTTGCTATTGCTAGCCTGTGTTCATGTTGTCTCCTGCTGTCTATCCTGGCTGTTTATGCCATTTAAATCCTCTTCTGTTTTATTGGGCTCTAGTATTCAGTCCTTTGTGTTGTCCATTATGTGTGTTTGCGGGTGTGGGTATGTTGAAGACAGGGTCTTGGGCAGCCCAAGCTGGATTTGAACTTGCTATATAGTTGAGGCTGGCATGGACTCTGATTTTCTTCCATCTATCAGTGCTGGAATTACAGGCATGTGCCACTGTGGTCATTTCCGAAGGGTTTTATTAACTGAAAAAAAGCAAGATGAGGTTGACAGACAGATAAGAGCAGTCTGCTTGGACTGGGGACATGGCTCAGCTGTTGGGAGCACTGGCTGCTCTTCCAGAGGTCCTGAGTTCAATTCCCAGCGACCGCATGGTAGCTCACAACCATCTGTAATGGGATCCTATGCCCTCTTCTGGTGTGTCTGAGGACGGCTACAGTGTACTCATATACATAAAATAAACAAATCTTTTTAAAAAGCAGCCTGCTCCGAGCATGCAGCTGGTTTCAGACTTTGCACTCTGGTTTCCCTGAGCCTGAGTTATCTCAGAAGAAAGGCTGTGGGCTCTCCAGACTCCAGACTATAAGGAGGGGCTTGGAAGTCCTGTCAGCTCCTGGATGAGGGCCTATTCACCTGTGCCGTTCCACTGCAACAGAGAAGAAGCGTGACTTTAGGAAATGCATTGTGGCCGGGTGGTGGTGGTGGCACACGCCTTTAATCCCAGCACTTGGGAGGCAGAGGCAGATGGATTTCTGAGTTCGAGGCCAGCCTGGTCTACAGAGTGAGTTCCAGGACAGCCAGGGCTACATAGAGAAACCCAGTCTCGAAAAAACCAATATATATATTTAAAATTCAGGACTAGGGACAGAGCTAGTGGTAGAGTACTTGCCTCGGATGAGTGAGGTCCTGGATTCAACCCCCAGCACACATCCAGGTGTGCACATGCACACACACAGACCTTAAAGTTATTTCATACATAAAACATGTTTGTTATAGGTAGGCAAAGAAGAAAATCTAACTTAGTTGTACTCTACCACCATGATGTAACCAGTTCTAATTTCATTTCCTAGAGTTGTGATAAATACCCTTACAGAAATCAGTTTGATTTCCAGAGTCTGGGATACATCCTAGAACAGAAGTAAGTAGAAGGAACTTGCCGGGCAGGAGCAGAGAGAATGAATGCATGCCTGCCTACTAGTGCTCAGTTCACTTTCTACTCTACACAGGGGATGGATGACCTAAACCCAGGCTGTGGTGCCGACCACAGTGGGCTGAGTCTTCCCACATCAGTTAATATAATCACGACACTCTCCCATAGACACGCCCATAGGCCAGCCTCTAGACAGTCCCTCACCGACACTGTCTTCTCAGGTGATTCTACATTGTGTCAGGTTGACAAAAGTAACCATTCTACATTGTTGGTTGTTGCTTTTGTCTCTTGAGACAGGGTCTCACTATGTAACCCTGGCTGACCTGGAACTCACAAAGATCCACCTGCCTCTGCTTCCCAAGTGCTGGGACTAACAGCATGCACCACCATGCCCAGCCTTAGACTAAATTTTTTTTTTAATATGTATTCTTCCAGAGTTCTAGAAATTCAGTCATACAGTACACTGTTATTTTCTAGCATTCATGTACTAAGGGAACCATTTTCATCACTCTGTAGCACTACTTAATGAGCAGGTGATAGTCGGCTGTAAGATGCACCATGCTCCAGATCTCAGCCTCCCCTCACACACATCTGAACTTCTAAGTTGATCTGACACTCTGCTCTCAGATATATGGATGTGGCAAACATGCTTACAGTGTGCTTGGACACTAATACTTACTCTGTAAGGTCAGTTGCTAGAAGTGACCCTGTCCTGCTGACCCAGATTATGCATGGGCTGGGGAGGTGACAGTAGATCCAGCACTTGCTGTGTGGGCATGAGGACCAGAGTTCATCTCCTCAGAGGCAGTAAACTCTGGGCAGTCATGGTGGCTGCCTGGAATCCCAGGCACACTTGGTGTGACAGAAACAGAACATTTCCTGGGCAAGCCTGCTAGTTAGACTAGCCAGAATTGGTGAGCTGCAGGTTCAACAAGAAACTTCCTCTGACTGGTGGTGATGGTGTACACTTTTAATCCCAGCAGGCAGAGGCAGGAGGATTTCTGTGAGTTCAAGGCCAGCCTGGTCTACAGATTGAATTATTGGACAGCTAGGGCTACACAGAAAAATCCTGTCTTGAATACAACTCCTTGCCTTCCCCTTACCTCCCAAAAAAAAAAAAAAAAGAAAGAAAGAAACTACTTCAGTAAATAAAGTAGAATCTCATACATAGCTCTCAATAGACTGGAACTTGCTGTGTATACCAGGCTGGCCTGTAGCTCAGAGGTGCTAGGCCAAAGGTCTGTAACAAAGGTGTAGTAACACCCACTTCAGATATTTTAAGTATATAGAAAACTGAAAAATATAAGAACAAAGTTTATTTTTGAGTAGTTACAAGCTGAGCACAGTCTTATACTTAGGAGGTTTATAGTTGTTGTTGGTGTTTGTTTGTTTGAGAGAGGATCTTGCTCTGTAGCCCAGGCAATCCTCCTGCCTCAGCCTTACAAGTTCTGAAATTACAGCCGTGAGCCATCACACCCAGGTAGTTCCAGTTCCTTGGAAAGCTGAGATAGAAGGATCACTTGAGCCCACCTGGGCAACATAGTTGCCAACAATATAGTTCAAAAAAATTTTTTTTGAGCAGGTGTGTAACTGTGTGTGTGTATTTGTGTGCCCGCAAAAGTGTATGTTTGTGTTCATTATAAAAGTTTTGAGCCATGCTGGTCGGTGGTGGCGCACGCCTTTAATCCCAGCACTTGGGAGGCAGAGGCAGGGGATTTCTGAGTTCGAGCTCAGCCTGGTCTACAGAGTGAGTTCCAGGACAGCCAGAACTACACAGAGAAACCCTGTCTCAAAACAACAACAACAAAAAACAAAAAAAAACAAAACAAAAAAAAACAAAAAAAAGGGAAACTAGACAAAAATTAAAAAAGGCATTCGCTAATAAACTTTGTATTTGAAGATGGCCAGAGATAGCAGTTATTTTTCTATTTTATTTTAACTTGATGATTCTGCTACCTAGAGTACTTTGCAACTTTTCCCCAGTGAGGATTGACCAGTGCTACTATGTTTCTTATGTAAGTGGACAGTTTCTAAATTTCCAGGGCCTACTAGTTTTGTTTTCTAGGAAAAGGAAACTGCCAACATTGATAGGTAAGGGGCTAGGGAGATGGTTGAGCCCATAAAGTGTCCTGTACAAGCAAGAGGACCTGAGTGAGCCCAGTACCCATGTGAAAAGTCAGACATACTTGAAATCCCAGCACTGGGTAGGGCTTGGGGATTCCTAGGACTCATTGGCAAAGGCATCCCAGCCAAAAGGATGATTTCCTAGGTTCCAGTGAGAGACTCTGTCTCAGAAATTAAAGTGGATAGCCCTCCTGAGGAACACCACCCAGTGCTGACTTCTGGCCTCCTTATACATGTGTGCACACATGCACACACATACATACATACACACACATGCACATACATGCACACACGTACATACATGCAGCCAAGGTAATAAATGAGCACATTTCTACCCATGGTGCTACCATCTTTTGCTTTCATCAGAGCTGACTTATTCTCTGCCACCAGATTATAGACAGGACGATTGTCTTCATCCCTGCACTCTCCATATCTGCTTCTTTCAATCTCTTAGGTGCCAGAACTGGGAAGGCGGCATTGGCGGGGTGCCAGGGATGGAAGCCCACGGTGGCTACACCTTCTGTGGCTTGGCTGCGCTGGTGATTCTCAAGAAGGAACGTTCTTTGAACCTGAAGAGCTTGCTAGTGAGTAGCTGTTGCACCATCCTCTCCCTGAGCCCAGGTTTGGTGATGTGACTCGATCTGGGACCATGGGGAGATCTGGTGATGGGAAGGCCTGGCTGAGCTCTAGCCTTGAGTGCAGATGAAGCTTCACGTGTGGTTGCTGGTGTCAGCACAGCTGTGCGTCAGCACGTCTCAACTCCCTTCTACCTCTCCTGCCTGCTTTGAAGTTTCTGAACAGACCCAGAGTGGACTTGAGTCCTCTACCTCCTGGAATGAGCCAGACTACCTTTCTCCCATGTTCCCAAGAATAGCAATGGTCCCTCTAGATTCCATATTACCATGTGTCTTAGAATCTCCTAAGAGAAGAGGCTCCGAGAAGAGCTTTGAAGCATTTAAGGGCCAAGGATTTATTACCTGTGAAAATTCCCTATCTGCATTCTGGCAGAGCTCTGCCTGGGGAACTTGCTATTAAGAGGTCTGGGCATCTCTTCTAGACCCCCAAGCTCTTGGCTAGTGTTCAAAAGGCGGTCAGGTTAAGGGAATCCTAGGATATTCAGAGAGAATGTATTCCCCTTGTGTTTTGGGGGTATTGCTGCCCTGGCTATCATGAAAGCAAACCAGCTACAATAGACCTTCAGCTCTCTCTCAGAGCAGATGCCAGGCCCTCATTGTTGAGCCATTGTGAGCCTTCTAGAGCGTTGCTTTTATATTTTGTGGCGGTGTAACAAGCAATGTTTTGCCTTCATTGTGAGAGACTAGCATGCTCTATCAAGGTTCTGGAAAATTGATACCGAATGACCAACTTTGTAGATATATTTTACAATAAGATCATCCTGAAGAGATGAAAGGTAAAGTCTCATGTTGTCTTAGTCAAGGTTTCTGTTGCTGAAATGAAACACCACTGCCAAGAAGCAAGTTAGGGAGGAAAGGGTGTATTCAGTTTACACTTCCACATTGCTGTTCATCACCAAAGGAGGTGAGGACTGGAACTTACGCAGGGCAGGAACCTGGAGGCAGGAGCTGATGCAGAGGCAATGGAGGGGTACTGCTTACTGGATTGTTTTCCCTGGCTTGCTCAGCCTGCTTTCTTACAGAACTCGGAACTACCAGCCCAGAGATGGCACCATTCACAGTGAGCTGCCCCTCCCCCTTGATTACTAATTGAGAAAATGCCTTACAGCTGGATCTCATGGAGGCATTTCCTCAAGGGAGGCTCCTTTCTCTGTGATGACTCTAGCTTGTGTCAAATTGACACACAAAATCAGCCAGTACGCGTGTTGTAGGCAAAAAGGAGGAATATACTAGTGCCTAAGTTAAAATGCCAGTACTGTAGGCCTGAGCCTGCTCTGCCTCTTCGCCAGAAATCCCTGGGAAACGTTTCTCATCTGCTTTAGCTGCACTGTCTCTTTCCCTCTGGAAAGTAGGAATAATGGTACTTCTTTGAGGGTTAAAGAAGACAGCCCAGCCAGGCGATGGTGGCGCACGCCTTTAATCCCAGCACTTGGGAGGCAGAGGCAGGTGGATTTCTGAGTTCGAGGCCAGCCTGGTCTACAGAGTGAGTTCCAGGACAGCCAGGGCTATACAGAGAAACCCTGTCTCGAAAAACCAAAAAAAAAAAAAAAAAAAAAGAAGAAGAAGACAGCCCATTAAAAGCCTGGTATACAGAAGGTGCTCCATAAATGCTGGCCCTCCCTTTCCCAGTGATCCCCTCCCTTCCTTTGCTATACACAACCAATATCTGAGCCGGGCAGGGGTGGCGCACGCCTTTAATCCCAGCACAGGAGGCAGAGGCAGGCAGATCACTGAATTTGAGGCCAGCTTGGTCTACAGAACAAGTTCCAGGAGACCTAGGGCTACATAGAGAAACCCTGTCTTGGAAAACAAGAGAGAAAGAGACAGGGAAGGAAGGAGGGAGGGAGGGAAGGTGTCTTTGACTTCCTATATCCAAGGGAAGTGGAACCGACCCCTGGCTTTAGGCACTGGAACAGAAGCATGACTTGAATCTACTCATGTTTCGGGGTGAGTCAATGCGCAGAGAGGCTGCCCCCCAAACCTTGAGTGTTTATTTCACTGTCATTAACTAGCAGTTCCTGAAGGTTCATTTAAGACTGACTAGGGCCGGGCAGTGGTGGCGCACACCTTTAATCCCAGCACTTGGGAGGCAGAGGCAGGCGGATTTCTGAGTTCAAGGCCAGCCTGGTCTACAGAGTGAGTTCCAGGACAGCCAGGGCTACACAGAGAAACCCTGTCTCGAAAAACCAAAAAAAAAAAAAAAAAAAAAAACCCAAAAAAGCAAAAAACCAACCAAACAAAAAAAGACTGACTAGGGAGATGTTACTACCTAAACCCACAGGGTTTGTCCTTTTAAGCACCCAACACTGACTTGTGTGGCCATGACCTGAGACATAATCTAACTATTATATTTGAAGAAGTCCAGGCTTCCCTCTGAAGAGTTCCGTGCGTCTGCATTGGGAACTCAGTCTCGGAGGGCTCCAGATACTGAGCGTGTGCGCTTGTCCCTTTCAGTCCAGTGCCAGAGCTCCATGGCCTCAGGCTGAGCAGGGAGAGCATTGTATCTGCTCCACCAGTTGGTTCTGCTCATCCCTCCAAGACTATCTTTATGGAGTGTGTTTAGAAAATGTGGAGATAAGCCCGGAGCGGTGGTATCAGGTGTGGCCACTGGGTGACAAGTGCCAGTTTATAGCTTCCGCCCAAAATTTCTCTTGTATCACCCCAAGAGAACTGAAGGCTAGACCAAGAAGTTATCATTTGGTAGTGCTGCTCAGTGCTCCACCCTTCAGTCCTGGTGGGGACTTGCAGATGTTGCTGAGTGAATGTCCTTAGGTACCAGGTAAAGGCAGGACTAGCTTGATGTCATCTGACGAGATCAGCCCAACACTTCCCTCCTCTGCTTTGAACAAACTCCCCTGTGAAGTGATGAGAAGAGACATGTGGTTCTGCCTGAGTTTTCTGCCCCAAGTGAGTTTAAAAGACCTTTGCAGGCCTCCCACACCAGCGTGGCCTCTGCACTCAGCACCTGCTTCCACTGGACTGAAGCAAAGGTGGTTGTCAGGGTAGTGGGAACTAGAGAGGGTGATGGGCTGTATGTAACATGATGCTGAAGGGTGACTGTTTGGGGAGGGGAAAAGAACAAGTCTGGTGAGGGGGTGACAAGAAATACAGGAAATAGCAATGAAGGAGACAAAGAATATATATATATATGAGCCATGCGGCGGTGGCACATGCCTTTAATCCCAGCACTTGGGAGGCAGAGGCAGGTGGATTTCTGAGTTCAAGAGTTCGAGGCCAGCCTGGTCTATAGAGTGAGTTCCAGGACAGCCAGGACTCCACAGAGAAACCCCGATTGATATATATATATATATATATATATATATATATATCTGCCGGTTGCTTCAAAATGGTCAAGCTTAAATGACAGTTGCCACTGGGGAAGAGAGGAAGGGAAACCAGAACCCCAGATATTGTCCCACCGAGTGATTGGCCCTGGGACTCTCCTGTGTTCTTTCTCAGCAATGGGTGACCAGCAGGCAGATGCGATTTGAAGGAGGATTTCAGGGCCGCTGCAACAAGCTGGTGGATGGCTGCTACTCCTTCTGGCAGGCAGGCCTCCTGCCGCTGCTGCACCGAGCACTCCATGCTCAAGGTGAGTCTGCACTGCTACTGGGGCTGGAAGAGGAGCTCCCTGGTCCGTTACTAACCCAGTGCTGTAGAGAGGAGCTGGAAGAAAACTCTGGCTCCAGGGGTTTTGAGGACTGGTATGGAGCCTCCCACCCTTGGCGCTGAGACGCTCCCATGGTTTCAGATCACTCAGTGCTGCCTCAGGTGACCTTCCCCTGAGCCACTCCCTGTTATCTGAAGGGAGCATCCCCACCCTGCCCTGGCCCCACAGTGACTGGAACTGCCATCTCAGCTGGTGCGATGCCACAGCAGAGCCATGTTGGGTCATGTCAGAGTGAGACACTCCTGCACGTGTCATCAGAATGGTGACAGGAGAGGCAGGGATGGAGAGGGGCCGAGGACCTGGACCTATGAGAAAAGACTCACCTGCTCTGACTGAGCACAAGTCACTATCAGAAATGTGTTATTTTGGGTCAGTAAGATAGCCCCGTGGGTAAAGGCTTCTGCAGGCAAGTCTGCGAACCTGGGTTCAATCCCAGGGGAAGTGGAGATCTCACTCCCGTGAGTTGTCTCACCTCCACATGTGATCCCTCCATGCAAAATAAATAAGTAGAATGTTGTTTGTTTTTGTTTTTTGTTTGGTTTTAAGACATGTTTTGGCCGCCACTGCTTGCGTCAGTGGTTTTGTTTCATTTGGCAGAAGTCAGAAGTCGGGGTTGACACTAAGGACCTCATGCATGCAAGACAAGTGTCCTGCTGCTGAGCTGCAACCCACCCCTCGAAACGTTTCACTTAAAGTCAGTAAGCGGCCCTATGACTGCTTCCCTGAGCAGCTAGACTAGAGAACGCCAAGTTCCTTTCTAAGGAGCGGCCACAAAGCAAGCAAGACAGCAGGCAAAGGCTCCAACAGCCCCGTCTCTCAATACCGCCTGACTCTGCTCATTCTTGCCTATGAGCACAGGGCTCACAGGTGGGAGGGGAGGCATCCCTGCTGGCTTCCAATCTGTTCCTGCAGGGAGATCCCGTAGCCCAGAGGGGGACTTTCCTGTGGACTCAGCTGGGTGACTAATTGCTCAGATGTAAGAGATGAGATTCCCTCCTACACCTCCCACACCTAAGCTTCTTTGGCCAACTCTCTGAACCCTAAGTTTTAATTCCTTAATCTCATTGAAGTTGTCCGGTTGCAGATGCCTTTGATACTGATCAAAAGCACACGGAGGCCCTGTCCTCCCTTTCAGCCTGGGGCCCTGGGGTTTAGGCCTCAGAATACTGGGGCACATAAAGGCCAGCACTCTGGAGCCTCCTCAGGCTCTGACACATCGTTAGTAGGACTGTCAGGGAGTCCCTAGAGCAGCAGTTCTCAACCGATGGGTCAAGACCCCTTTCGGGTTTGAATGACCCCATCACAGGGGTCACATATCAGATATCCTGTGTATCAGATGTTTACATCATGATTCATAAAAAAAGCAAAATTACAGTTATGAAATAGCAACAAAAATAATTTTATAGTTGGGGGTCACTCCAGCATGAGGAACTGTATTACAGGGCTGCAGCGTTAGGAAGGTTGAGAGCCGCTGGTCCGGAGGCTGGCTTTTCTGAAGAAATAAGCTGAGGTTTTGGTGAGCTGGCGTGTAGAAAGAGCCACAGGTGTTGCTGTTTTTTCCAGAATGGTGGCTCTATGAACAGCAGCAGAGATTTCCCAAGCATTCACTGTGCCACAGTGTTTCACTTGTGTGTTCTCATCTGATCCCCAAACAGCCCTGTGACACCAGGACTTTTGATTTTGCAGAGAAGGAAACAAAGTAAACACAGTTAAGGCTTGCTTTATAATCTGACTGTAACTGTAGAGGCTGTCAGGTGGATGCAGCCCTGCTTGCAATACTACAGATGAATGCCAACCCCACCCTCACCTACACCCACCCAAAAGTTACCCAGCTTGCTTATAACTAAAGGTGTTAGATGGCCATAGGTGGGTTACTCCTCTAATCCTGGCACTCAGGAGGCAGAGGTAAGAGCACTCTGAGTTCGAGGCTAGCCTGGTCTACATAGTGAGTTCCAGGACAGCCAGGGCTACAACAGAGACCTCTATTTCAAGAAACAAAACAGAATCAAAGAAATGCATGTTAGGGGTGGGGAGAGATGGCTCACTGGTTAAGAGCATGTGCAACTCTAATGGAAGACCCGAGTCCTGGTCCCAGCACCCACATTCATTAGCTTAAATGGCTTCAATTCCAACTCCGGGGACCTGACTCCTTCTGAAGTGGAGGCCAGTCTAGCTAGTCTACACAGTGAGATCCAGATCATCACATGCCCTGTTTCTGTCACACCAAGTGTGCCTGGGATTCCAGGCAGCCACCATGACTGCCCAGAGTTTACTGCCTCTGAGGAGATGAACTCTGGTCCTCATGCTCACACAGCCAAGTGCTGGATCTACTGTCACCTCCCCAGCCCATGCATAATCTGGGTCAGCAGGACAGGGGCACTTCTAGGAACTGACCTTACAGAGTAAGTATTAGTGTCCAAGCACACTGTAAGCATGTTTGCCACATCCATATATCTGAGAGCAGAGTGTCAGATCAACTTAGAAGTTCAGATGTGTGTGAGGGGAGGCTGAGATCTGGAGCATGGTGCATCTTACAGCCGACTATCACCTGCTCATTAAGTAGTGCTACAGAGTGATGAAAATGGTTCCCTTAGTACATGAATGCTAGAAAATAACAGTGTACTGTATGACTGAATTTCTAGAACTCTGGAAGAATACATATTAAAAAAAAATTATTCTGAGGCTGAGCATAGTGGTGCATGCTGTTAGTCCCAACACTTGAGAGGCAGAGGACACAGGCAATTTATCCTGCAAGTGGACTGACTGTAAGTAGGCATTTGGTTTTGTAGGGTAGTGTGCAAATGGCTGTTTAGCTTATAAACACACTTAAGGTTTTAACCTGGCGACTGCACTGTTAGGAGATTACACCCAGAGATGTTAATTGAGGATGCCTAGGCTCTCAGTAGCAAACAGAAAATATCCACTGAAAGGGGAAGAGTCGCCCAGCCTGGTCACGTGCACACATTTAAGCCAACATTCAAGATGCAGAAGCAGAGTTCAAGGCGAGCTCGACCTATATAGCAAGTTCCAGGTCAGCCTGGATTGCACAGTAAGATCCTCTCCCAACAAACATGAGTGGGTGAGTAAACAATGCTCTCTCTAAAAGGTACTTACATCATTGGCTCTGTACAGAGAGCTTCCCAGAACACAACATAAAGTATCAAAAGCCACACCCAGGGCAGTCATGTGCATACCAGCTGGTGTCTAGTGACTTTTCCTGGCAGCATTTCAAAACCCTCTACAATGGATAATATTAAGAGAAGCAAACTATATCCTCTACTGTGCCCTTTAATTTTCTTTAAAAAATTATATATACTGTTACTTATATTCTAATTTTTACAAATTATTTGTGAGTGTGTATGTGTGCGTGCGTGCATGTGTGCGTGCATGGGTGCATGCATGTGGTATGTGCATGCATGTGGGTGTCTTAGGGGTCAGGCTCCCTTGAGCTAGAGCTACAGAGGCTGTCAGTCACCTGGCACTGAGCGCTGGAACCAAACTTATCTCTCCTGCAAGGGCAGTTCTTCTTAGCCCCTGAGCCGTCTCTCCTTTAAAGTAAATGAATTTAAAAAGAATTATTTTTATGTGTTGATATTGGATATTGAGCCCAGATCCTGCTAAGCACATTGACTACCACTGAGTCATATCCATAAACTTAAAGGTTTATGTATCATTTATTTATTTATTTGCGGTACCGGGGGTTAAACCTAGAGCCTCATCCATAGTAGTCTAGATTCTATCTCCAAACTGTGTCACCAGCCTTAACATTACTTTTTTTGTTGTTGTTTTTTGTTTTTCAAGACAGGGTTTCTCTGTGTAGCCCTGGCTGTCCTGGAACTCACTGTGTAGACCAGGCTGGCCTGGAACTCAGAAATCCGCCTGCCTCTGCCTCCCAAGTGCTGGGATCAAAGGCGTGCGCCACCACCACCACCACCACCACCCGGCTTTATCTTTACTTTTAAAAATTTGCTTGTGGGGCTTGAGAAATGGCTCTCTAGCCTGGCTAGAGCCTGGCTGCTCACCCAGAAGACCCGAATTCATTTGGTTCCCAGCACCCACGTGGTGACTCATAATCACCTGCAACTCCATTGCCATGGGGTCTGATTCCTTCTTCTACCTCTGAGGACACCAGGCACCAGCTATGCTCATGGTAAACATACATGTATGTTTACACTCAAACACATAAAGTAAAAGTAAGCAAGTCTAATATATATATATTTGCAGCTGAGACTATATCTCTGTGGTAGAAGGATTTCCTAGACTGTGTGAGCCCTGAGTCTGAGGTCCACCACTGGTGTGGTGGAGGACGCAATGATCTTATTTCTAATTAAAATAGAAAAGGCTCAGCACAATGAAGCACACAGCTTAGCTCCATTCTACTTCCTAGTGTCCCTCAAATTGTACATTTTCTTTTTTCCCTTGCTCAGCTTGCTCCTTTTTATTGTACATCTGCATAAGAGTGAACACTAATAACCACACGACAGAGTCAGTACTAGGCTGTTTTCAGATTTCCTCTGCCAATGAAATTAATCCAAACTCTTTAATTTAGCCTCAGGCAGACTCTTTGGACAAGGTCAAAAGCCACATTCTTAGCCAAAATATCATAAGATCAATATCTAGGCCACATACTAGCATTCTTCTCCTCTGAAATCTCTTGAGCCAGGCCTCTACAGTTAACACATTTAATTTGGGCTGGCTTATAGTTTTAGAGGCTTAGTCCATCATCATCATAGCAAGAAGTATGCTATGTATATGTCTGCGTGCTGGCAGACATGGTGCTGCAGAAAGAGCTGAGAGGTCTACATCTTGATCAAAAGGCAGCAGGAAACTGTCTGCCACACTGAGCATAGCTTGGGTATATAAGACCTCAAAGCCCAGCCAGGCAGTGGTGGCACACACCTTTGATCCCAGCACTTGGGAGGCAGAGGCAGGCGGATTTCTGAGTTCGAGGCCAGCCTGGTCTACAGAGTGAGTTCCAGGACAGCCAGGACTACACAGAGAAACCCTGTCTCGAAAAAACAAAAACAAAAAAACAAAATTTTTTAAAAAGATGATCTCATGTATCTGACACTAGCCTAGAATTTCCTATATAGTCTAGGGTCGCCTTGAACTCATGATCTTCCTACCTGCCTTCTAAGAGCTGAAATTAAAGGTATCTGCCACCATACCCAGCAAGCATTGACATATTAACAGTCTTCATTTATTTACTGTTTCTGTTTATGTGTGGGTGCATGTGTGTGTACTTGTGTGTCCTGGTGTACACACACATATCTCAATGGCATAGGAAGGCCAGAGGTCAACAACCAAGTATCTTCCTTAGTCACTGTTCAATCTCACTAGACTGGCTGGCCAGCAAGCCTCAGGATCCCCCTGGTTCCACCCATCAGCCCTGGTACTGGTGTACTGCCATGCCCAGCTCAGCCCTGGTAATGGCATACTGCCATGGCCAGATTTTTAACCCGGGTGCTGGGGGCGGAACTCGGGTCCTCATGCTTACAGCAAGCACTTCATGACTGCTCTATCCTCCCAGCCCCATGTAATTAAAAACAATGATTACATTACTCAGTCCTGTTTGTATTCCTTGAAGGGAGGGGGTGTGTGTGCCAGGGGGCATGTGTGGAGATCAGACCTGGTTCTATGGGCTGAGCAGTAAGAGCCCTTACCTGCTGAGCCATTCTGCTGGCTCTGTATTGTCTACAAACTCTTTATGAAGCTGAGGATGACCTTGGACATCTGTCTGATCCTTCTAAGTGCTGGGATTACGTGTGTGTTACCATCCTCTGTCTTCCACAATGCTGGGATTAAAGGCACGCGTCACCGTGCCTAGCCTGATTTTCTTAATGTTGAGCTCCTCTGCGTTCCCAGGTTGTTTCACTTCTCCTTTAATACATAGTTTACATCAGATTATTAGTATTTTGCAATTTTTGTACCTTTACTTATAAGTATCTGTTATAAGTTTGATCGTTGTAATAATTCAGGGCAATTTTTAAAAATTAGAGTATACAGCCTGTAATGACTCAGTGGGTATGGATGCCTGCCCCCAAGGCTGGTGACCTGACTAGTGGTGGATTACTTGCCTAGCACCCACAGGCTCTGAGTTTAATCATGTAGCACACGTACACACATGTACATGTGTACACACATACCCCTCCCTGACTCATGCATGAGTAGCATAAGATACACAGTGCTCATATTTCCTGACTTGACTGAGATTCTGTTCCTGGCTCCTGCACTTCTGTCAGTGGAGATTACCTGATAGAGAGCTACAGATAACCAGCATGTGTGTGATCTTGAGTTTGATTCCCAGCAAAATCTGGAGGCTGGGACATCCAAGGTTAGGGTACCAGCATACTCTGGTGTCTGGTAGGGTTGCTGTCTGCTTTCATTCATGGAAGGTCCTGTCACTGAATCCTCTAGAGAGGAAAGCTGTGTCCTTATGTGCTGACAGGTACTAATGCATCTCTTTTATCTCTTTTTACCCTTTTAGTTACTGGGAACATTTTAAAAATTACATTGTGTGTGTGTGTGTGTGTGTGTGTGTTCCTTCTTTATCTTTTCCTTGATTCAGCCTAATAGCTGAGACAACAAGTGCATTTTTTTTTTGAAGGATAAAGCGGGGTGGGCGGGCACTAAAGAGGTAGCTTGGTGATTGACAACACTGGCTGCTCTTCCAGAGGACTCAGGTTTGTTTCTCAGCACCAACATGGTACCTCACCACCTGTCTGTAATCCTAGATCCAATACCGTCTTCTGGCCTCCATAGATCTCAGGCACATGCTACATGCAAGAACCCACATATGTAAAAGTAAAATAAAAATAAAGTAAAATAAAACAAATACAAAATTATTGCCAAATGTGTATGCACACCTGTAGTCCCCGGAGGCGGAGTCAGGTGGATCTAGAGTTCAGGATTATCATGGGCTACGTAGTGAGTTCAAAGCCAGCCTGGGCTGAGACCATGTCTCAAGAAAGAAAATAAAATACTTTCTGTCTGAATATTCTATAACTAAATGTGGAATTTTCTTTTACCATGTGTGTTATATGTCTATGTACATGTTTGTGTGTGCACATGTACATGTAGGTATGGGTGGAGGCTGACATTGCTGTCTTTCTCAGTCTACACCATATTTTTTTGTGACAGGGTCTCTCTTGGAGTTTTCCAATTCAGCTAGGCTGGCTGAACGTGAGCTACCAGTATCCTCCTGTCCCCACCTCCCTGGGACTGGAATTACAGGCATGCACTGCTGCACTGACTCTTTACACGGGGGCTGGGATCTGAACTCGGGTCTGCATTCTTGCATTTGTTTTGCCTATAATCTCACCCACTCTGTTCACATTAGCCTTTTGTGAAGTCTTCCTAGAGGTTTTTATGCCCATATCTATGAGATTCTTGGCCCTATTGTTTTTCTCAGTTCCCTTGTACCTCTCCTTAAATGGGATGTTTCCCTGTTATCCAGAATGATGGTTATGAAGATGATGTAGTAGAACAGACATTTGTGTTTAAGTGTTATATGAAAAACATGCAGTTATGAAATTATAATAATTGTAACTATATAGGGGAATTCATAAAAAACAAAGGTGGTGAGCTCTCTCTTCTCTCCCTGCTTGGTAACCGTGACCTGCAGAATTCTTTTGCTGTATCAGCTGAACTTAAGAATGAAGGAAGCCGAATGGTGGTGGCACACACCTTTAATCCCAGCACTTGGGAGGCAGAGGCAGGTGGATTTCTGAGTTCGAGGCCAGCCTGGTCTACAGAGTGAGTTCCAGGACAGCCAGGGCTGCACAGAGAAACCCTGTCTCGAAAAACCAAAAAAAGAAAAAGAAAAAGAATGAGCCCAGGCTGGAGAGATGGCTCAGTGGTTAAGAGCACAGACTGCTCTTCCAGAGGTCTTGAGTTCAATTCCCAGCACCCACATGGTGGCTCACAACCAACTGTAATGGGATCTGATGCCCTCTTCTGGTGTGTCTGAAGACAGCTACAGTGTACTCACAGACATTAAATAAATAATTAAGTATTTAAAAAAAAAAAAAGGAATGAAGGAGCCCAGGGCCTAGGGATTGAGCCCAGGGTTCAGTGCTTGCCTGACATGCACAGCCTAGGGATTGAGCCCAGGGTTCAGTGCTTGCCTGACATGCACAGCATGTTTCCCAGCATCGAAAGAGCTGAAAAGAAAAACAACCCAGGACTCAGGTTTCTCCAGGACTTAGGCTCCCAGCATGGCTGGTTTTTGCTTGTGCCGTCCGTGGCACAGAACAGTCAGCAGTGATGGCTTCTGGGACAACTGTTTGGGTCTCTGGGAGTTTCCTTTTGATGTGGATTTACTTCAGGGTAAGAAAAGTCAGGGTAAGCTATTTGCTGCTAGGCTCTGGTAAGTGGTGTGATTACCAAGTTGTAGAGAGGAACTAAAGGCAACGCTCTCAGGAAACTGAGGCAGTCTTGGAGCTGCACTGAGCAGCCAGTGCTGGAGGATTGGTTTCAGACCGTCATCTATGTTTGTTGGTACACTTCGGGGCAAATGAGACTGCCACCTAGACCTGCTCTTTGACAACACAGCCAAGCTCAGGAGAGGGCACTCATGGTGAAGACAGCAAGTGTACTAAGAGTGACTGGAATGAGTCAATAACCACTGATGTCAGTCCCGCCCTCTGACCCTGTGTTCCCCAGGTGACCCTGCCCTCAGCATGAGCCACTGGATGTTCCATCAGCAGGCGCTGCAGGAGTATATCCTGATGTGCTGCCAGTGTCCAGCTGGGGGGCTTCTGGACAAACCTGGCAAGTAAGTGTTCTCTTGGGGAGAGGGAGGAGGGGAGAGGGAATATGCTACCCATGCTCTCTTAGAGCCAGGCGCATCAACCCGGGCATCCCTTTCCTTCATCTGCTTAGCACTAACGTTGTGAAGGGAAAGTGTGACAGTTGCGGTAACCGCCTTTCAGTGCCATTGAGCGGTCACCTCTGGCTACTTATCCAGAGTCGCTCGTCGGAGCCCCCAGCTTATGTGCACCTTCCCCAGGGAGGGAAATGGATGGCTGACTTGGTAGCTTTTCTTTACTGTTTTTGTTCCATGGGATACAGTTTCTCTGTGTAGCCCAGGCTATACCAGAACTAGCTCTATAGGCCAGAGACCAGTTCAGACTGGCCTTGAACTCAGAGATCCACCTGCCTCTGCCTCTTAAGCTAAAGGCATGTGCCACCATGCCTGGCTTCTTTGACTTTTCTGTTCTGTGTTTTTCTCGTTAAGCCCATTTAACTAGAATAGTTTGTGGAAGGAAGTACAGATGAGCGGTGGGGTGAAGCATTTGCACAGCACTTATGATGGTCTGGGGGCAATCCTGAGCATGGTAAAACAGCGAAAAGGAATAGGCTATCAAACCGATGACTGTTATAAATAGATTATAATCCAACAACTACTCTACAGTAAATTAGACAACTAAATGCAGACCCAGGGTGCTGTGAATGGTACCGTAAATGAGAAACATAAATAAAATACGAGGTGGTATTACAGTCTGCGTGCACGTACGCACGCACTGCTGCTGGGCGGAAGGCCGGGCCCAGCAATTTATCAAGAGGCACGTGATTGATTCCTAGACATTTTTCTAGAGAAATGCATTAATTTAGTACTACCACTCTCAGAGAGCCCTTTCCAGAACAGCTGGAAAGACTGAAACAGTTCCTATGGCTGAGGGTGGGGCTCAGCAGTGGCTGTGGCCACATGCAGGTGGGAAGCCCTGAGGTCCATCCTCATCAATGCAACAACGCAAAACACAACCAACCAACCAGGCAAAAAAAAACAAACCTAGTCCCATTGTTGGGTAGAACTCAAAAATGGGACCTTCAAGGCCACTGCTGGGAACAGCCATGCTTCCTTTGACCGTGTATAGGAAAGGGTCCAAGGCACATCTGTATCACTGTCCTCTGGATTCATGTGGCAGTACCTGGGGGAGTTGGGAGGGAGGGGCGGGGCCGTCTCAGAGCTGTCTATCTGTCCTGGTAGGTCACGTGACTTCTACCATACTTGCTACTGCCTGAGCGGCCTGTCCATTGCCCAGCACTTCGGAAGTGGAGCCATGCTGCACGACGTGGTCATGGGTGTGCCCGAAAATGTTCTGGTAAGGCAAGTTCAGTACCCCTGTGCTGCAAGGTTTCCCAGGTCAGGGGATCTAATTTCAGAGTGGCCACTTGCATCCTGCAGAGCTGGCTCTGTTCCCTGTGTGGGCAAGTTGGGAAACTCGGAGGCCCCACCCTCCTGGCATTCTCTGGCCTATGAGTGAGGTTTGAGTGGAGGAAGTGGGCCAGGCAGAGGCCCAATTTCAGTGGTCTGCACTGGGGGCAGAGGTGCTGTGGCCTTATTCCAGCCCATTGCTGACCACAGCTCCCTCTCCAAGGCAGGCACAGTTGTCACTCGGAGCCTGAACCTGTAGCATGGGCCGGGTGCTCCACTCACTGTATTATGGCTGGCCTCATCGCTCAACTTAGATGCTATCAGAGACTGCGCTGTCAGCATTGCTGTGCAACAATAGCACACACGCCAGTTTGCTGTGCATTTGTTGCATGTGTGTGTGCTTCCCCCGTAAGGTGGCAGCCCTAGGCTAGGGATGTGGCTCAGGGATAGGCTCTATGATTGGTTGTGTCAGCAGAGCGCTGAGCTCAGTCCCAGCACAAGAAAGGAGCAGGATGCTGCCCACCATGGCCTGTGCTACGGCAGCCTGGCAGAAGGACACACTGTGCACCTAGACATGAGTCCAAGAAACAAATGCAGCTGAGACTGTCCGCAGTGGCCAACAGATAAAAATATTGAGCTTTTTCTTTTCATCTGTCTTTTATGTCTTTCCTTTGCTTGCATTGGTAAATATTTCAAGCAGAAGTGCAAATAGATGAAAATCATTTTATTTTATTTTTTTGTCAAGGTCCTATTACGTCACTTTGTAGCTCTGACTGGCCTGAAATTCACTTTGTAGAGCAGGCTAGCCCTGAACCGTGTCAGTTTTTTTTTTTTGTTTGTTTTTGTTTTGTTTTGGGTTTTTTTTTGTTGTTGTTGTTTTTTTTTGAGACAGGGTTTCTCTGTGGAGCCCTGGCTGTCCTGGAACTCACTCTGTAGACCAGGCTAGCCTCGAACTCAGAAATCCACCTGCCTCTGCCTCCCAAGTGCTGGGATCAAAGGCGTGCGCCACCACCGCCCGGCTCCATGTCAGCTTTCTTGCCCCTGCCTCCTGGGGTGGTTGTGATTATCGGCTGCAGCCACTATACGTGGTCCAGCCTCTGCACATGGAGACTGGAGGGCAACCTCGGGTGCTTGAGCATCTCACTAGGACCAGGGGCTTGCTGATTACTGGCTGGCTAGCCAATAAGCCCCCGATCTTCCTGTCCCTGCTTCCCTATTGCTGGGATTACAAGTGCCCCACCCACACCTGGCATCTTACATGGTGACTGGGGACCAAACTCAGGTTCTTATGGCTTCTGGGCAAACATTTTACTAGCTGAGTCATCTCCCAGTCCCTCAGTGAAGGTCAGTTGGACTCTTTCTTACACTGACATGAGGGCTGGTGGGATGGTTCAGTGGGTTGCCACACAAGACCCTGAGTTCAGTTCAACTGTGGAAAGGGAGATGTGACTCCTGCAACTTGTCCTCTGACCTCCACTGAATGCTGTGGCATGGGGGGGGACCCTGTACCACACATTCATTAAATAAATAAATAAATAAATAAATAATAGAAAGACTTTTTAAAAAAAAGATTTGATATACATTTTTTATATAATGTATTTTTCAGTTTGTGTTTTAAAATATACTGGTTTCATGAAATTCAATACTGACCCCTCCCCCATTTTAGACAGGATCTCACTCTGCAGTGCTGGTTGGCCTAGAACTCTCTGTGTAGACCAGGCTACTCTTGAACTCACAGAGATCTGCCTGCTCTGCCTCCTGAGTATGAGGGTGAAAGGTGTGCACCACCATGTCCAGCTCCCCTCCCATTTTGTCTCTCAGAAACATTGTAGAGCTGAGAGCTGGGCCTGTTCGTCTGGTACAGTGCTTAGCTAGCATGCACACAGCCCTCCGTCAGCTCTCAGTACTCTGTAAAGCAAGCATGGTGATGCATACCTGTACTCCCAGCACTTGGAAGGTGGAGGCCGGTCAGAGATTCTTGGCTGTACTCTCTGAGATGGAGGCCAGCCTAGGCTACATGAGACAGTGTCTAAAATAAATAAATAAATAGATAAATAGATAATAAGTGGGAGGGAGGCTGACAAGATGGTTCAGCTGGTAAGGGTGCGTGTTGCTAACCCTGAGAACCTGAGTCCACTCTGGAACCTACACAGTAGGAGAAAAGCAACTCCACTAACTGGGCTTGCACACAAACTTGAGGTGGGGACGTAAAGAAAGAAGTTTAAAATCTTTTCTGCAGTCATATTCTCTTCCTCTTTACTTGCCCAGAATGAGAGGGGCCCGAATACTGGTCTAAAATTCTGTCCTGTCTCAGATCTTAAATTTCTTTCAGATTTCTGCAATATAGGGGAATACTGTAAAAGAATTGAAATGTGATCCGACACTTCTACCCCCAAAAGAGCTGTGGTCCTTTTTCTTAATTACAAATACAGATACACCATACTGCTTAGTATCTGAAAGACACATACAGGACTAAGAAGAGTGAAAGCTAACCTGTGGCTTGCTCTTGCTGTCTTGCTGGATGCTGGTGGCCTGCCAGCCCCAGCCTCTCTGTCATAGCCCTAAGTAAGTTGTGAGAGACTTGAGATGATGTGCAAACGCTCCTGTGTTACAGGTTAGGCTTCCCTGATGCGAACATTTCAAATCTAACATGCTTTAAAAAATATTTATTTAAAATAATATTTATTTATTTATTTTATGTATGTGAGTAACTGTCGCCGTTTTCAGACACACCAGAAGAGGGCATCAGATCCCATTACAGATGGTTGTGAGCCACCACGTGGTTGCTGGGAATTGAACTCAGGACTAACGCTTTTCAAGTATCATATTAGCACTCAAAAACTTTTGGAGCCAAGAGTGGTTGTGCACATCTGTAATTGCAGCAGCAGAAGGCTACATCCTGTCCAAAACAAGAGGGAGAGGAGGGACTCTTTTATTCCATAAAGAATGCAGTTCTGTCATTTGCAGGGGAATGGTTGCAGCGGGAACCATCACAGTAAGTGACTGGAGCAGTCTCAGGAAGACATGTATCTATGACATGAAACTATGAATCAAGCTGTCTGTAGAGACAACGGGAATGAATGGGAAGGGGAGGGTTCGCAAGGAGGAAGATGGGAGTGTGCTCAACACATGCGGAGACAAACTTTAATTTTAAAACGCTACAGTGTTTCTCCTCCCCCTCTCATGTCTCCTTCCTCCTTTGTTTTTGTTTGGCTGTTTTAGTTATTTGGAGATAGAGTTTCTATCTATCTAATCTGTCTATCTCTGGCTGTCCTGGAACTCTTTCTGTAGACCAGATTGGCCTCGAACTCACACACCTTCCAAGTGCTGGGATTAAAGGTGTGTGCCACCACCGCCAGGCCTCTTTTTCTCTTTTACTTTTTAATCTACACTCCATATGAGAGAAAATGTGATCTTTCTATGTCAGAGGTCTCAGGAAAAGAAACAGAAGGACAATGGAATGTATTGCCAAGGGAGAGTTGGGAGACCAGCGGAAGTGGGGGATGGGGGCAAATAAGAACAAAGCATGACAGTATACATGAGAATGTCACAACAAAAGGCAGACACCGTGCACACCTGTAATCCCAGCATGTGGGAGAAGCAGGAAGGTCAGGAGTTCAAGGCCAGCTTCAATAATAAATTTGAGGCCAGCCTGGACTAGATGAGACTTAAAAAAAGAATGAAAGGAAGAAAATGTTCTAACAGATAGCACTTTGTTAATTAAAAACATATTGATAAGAAAGTTTCAGTGCTTAAAAAAAGGGTTTGGAGCAAGGAGATAGCTCAGTGGTAGAGCACATGTCTAACATGTTAGGGTGCTGGGTCTGGTTCAGGGTTTTACATAAAGATGATTGGTAAAGTCTATGTGAATATTCCAAAACCCAAAAAACTCCAAAATATATTCTGGCATTTCACCATGTCATTAAAATATTTGAAAGCACATATTCAGAGATCTCTCTCTCTCTTTAACAGATTTATTTTTTTATGTACATCAGTGTTTTGTCTGCCTGTATGTCTGTATGAAGGTATTGGATCCCAGCACTTGGAGTTACAGACAGTTGTAAGCTGCCATGTGGGTGCTGGGAATTGAACCCAGGTCCTCTGAAAGAGCAGCCAGTGTAAGTGCCGAGTTCTCTCTCCAGCCCCAAAAGCATATATTTAAGTGGCTGAATAATGTTCCCTTGTGATTGTGTACTATGAGAGGTTGTCAGCAGATACTGGTTTGGTTTTGTTGCACATCTGGGCCTGGAATAAACCCGTGTGTATCACTCCTCCGTCTGGTTCTGCTGGGTGCCTTTCAGCAGACGTAGAGCCGCTGTTGATGAATCTGCGTCTCTTCTCTCCGCAGCAGCCCACGCACCCTGTGTACAACATCGGACCTGATAAGGTGATCCAGGCCACCACACACTTTCTGCAGAAGCCAGTCCCAGGCTTTGAGGAATGCGAAGAGGAGGTGACCTCAGGTCCTGCCACCGACTAGAGGACCCCATGGCTCCCCCAGCAGCCCCGTCAGACAGGGTTTCTCCGTTTGGGTGTACAGCACGCTCTGTGCTACTTGAGCCTTGGCCACTGTGGAATTGTGGTTTCTTTGTCCTTTCCTGTCAAACAAAACAAAGCCATCAGCTCTGGGTTGGAATACACAGCGGTGTGATTTTTAAAATTATTTTCATACCTGTCAAACCAAAACTCTGGAAGCCGATGTAGCAAGCCGGTTTGGAGAGCAGTGCATGCTGGGAAGCAGCAGCCAGGCCCACGATGCTGACATGGAAGGTATCTGTGAGCATTTGCATCCCAGCCAGTGCTGTCACCCCCACCTACACACCACCATTCAGTCACCAGACCTGCGTCCTCACTGGTATACATGTCAGCTCTGTGCAAGGGTGGGGCTGTGGGTCCAGCCAGTATGAGCTCTCTGGAACAGAGCACTGAGCTCCACTGGGGCATATTTATGCTCATCTCTTCCACCCCAGTCATCTGCAAAGGACAGGGGCTGGGAATGAAGGAGGGTCTTAGATTGACAGCTCCTCACAACCTGGGGAGAACCGAGTCACGTATCTCTCTGAGGCCATGTTTGGTATGAGCAAGACTTTTGCCCTTGGTATGATGAGTACACCCAGGTAATCAATTATGAGTGGAAAAACCAACCTCTAGGTCAACCCTGTGCCAGAGGAAGCTGCTTCCCCATGCCCAGCCCCCGCCTCTCCCATCATGTTCCAGGAGAGGCTCTCCTAGGGCAGGGCTGCAGCCTCGGCTCCTTCTAGTCCTTCCTCCCCACACTCCCCTCCAGGACAGTGCTGTCTCTTCTTGTCCAGAGTGTTAACACTACTAAGGCTTTCACCTTAACTGATCACTCAGGATTTATTCCTGCCCTGGCCATTCCAGGCTCTCTGAAACAGAGGCAAATGCTAGGCAAGCTGGCTGCTGCTGGGACAGTAGCCTCAGGTGGTAGGGCAAGGGCTGTTGGTGTGCCGAATCCTGGAGCTGCCCCTGTATCGGCCGTCTCACGGTCTGTAGGGGGCTGAGTGTGGTCATCCACCCACTGCTACAGTCATAGCAAGCTCCTGTCACCGTCCAGCCTGTGTGAGCAGGCAGACGGGAGCTTGGAGACACAGTCTGAGGTTCTTCCCCAAACCACTGGCCATTTGCTGCCTCTGATTCCCTATTGCTTTGGCGTACTGGGCTATGTATTACCTCCTTGAAATAATAAAAGAGTAACATTTTCTATGCTTTTTTTTTTTTTTTCAGAAAAAAATTTAAGTCTCTGTTTCTCCCTCTCCCTTTCCCCCCCCCTCTCTCCCTTTCCCTCTCTCTCCCTCCCTCTCTCTTTCTCTCTCTCTGTCTTTCTCTCTCTCTCTGTGTGTGTGTGTGTGTGTGTGTGTGTGTGTGTGTGTGTGTGTGTGTAGATGTCTGTAGAGACCAGAAAAGGGCATCAAATCAGCTGATCTGAAGTTACAGGTCGTTGTAACTTGGTACAGGATGGGTGCTGGGAACCAAGTCTGTATCCTTTCTAAGAACAGCAAGTGCCCTAGCCACTGAGCTGCTTCTCAGCACAGTATGCTCTCTTCTGTCTGTACTAAGAAAACTCCTTCAAGATGCCCCTTTGCACTGGGGATTTCCTGTCTCCTGCATGTGAATGAAGGAAGTTGAAATTCATTCTTCTGTGCACTTTCTCCCGACACTGAATTCTAGTATTTGTCTGTCTCCAACCCTACCAGGGAGGGGACTATGCTCTGCCATTGCACAGGGCAGGATGGGTGGACATCCTGGCCATAGGTAGGGGCTGGTGGATGTAGCCAGAATTCTGTGGTGACTAGAAGGGACTCTGAGGAGAAATGCCAAGAAGGCAGCGTTCTGAGGCTTGCTCCTTGGGAAAGGATACCTCAGGGGAAACTGCAGCCGTGCAAATAACCCAGAGCTACATTCTGATGGCAACATTCTCCCATCCCCTGGCAATGTTTATTTTGCTAATAAAGGTTTGGGTTGCAATCCATTATCCCAAGTTTACCTGTCCACTACTGACAGGAGAAGGCTCAACGCTGGAAGCCTGAGGCAATAAAGACAGCTGCAGTCATAATTGGGGTCTGTGATGTCTTTATACCCTGGAGCAGGTCCTAGAAGGATAGGTGGCATTGGGCTAGGGAGAGGAGAGGGCAGTGGTACTGCTGTCTCCAGGTTTGGACTGACTTTTCTCTGTAATTCCTTTTCTGGAGAGCTTCCCAATTGAGCCTTCAGGTGGGCCTGGAGAGAAATCTCCCATTTTATATGATCCATATTTTATCATGTAGATGGTGAGTAAAAGACACTACCAGCATGGCATTTGACTCCAGGAAATATGTCCCTTTAAATAAATACCAAACTAAACAGCTCTTTATCCACCTGAGTCCCTCCTGCCCACCTTGGGGATCCTGCCAGCTGTTCCTGGCAACAGAAGGCAGGCTTCCAAGACCAGCCAGGGTGAATGCCCCTCAGGTGGCATTCTTAAACTGTCCTTTCATTGTAACCTTGTTTCTGAGTCAGTAACATCAGGTGAGAGAATAGCTCTTTGGACATTGCCAAGATCATGGTAAGAGGAACTGCCAGCCTGCGCCTCATTCTGTTCCTTACCACTGCTCTCTTGTGAGACTCCTCCCCTGATGGACCTTCATCCAGAGTTGGGTTGAAGGGGCCTCCCCATCACCATGTTGTCTTCCTTACCAAAGATGAAGGTTTAACCCCATGCTCATCCCAGATTCCCAAGAATCCTAGGAAGACAGTGATTCAGGCCTGCTTCTGTAGTCTGGTTAGTGCCGAGACTCCAGACTCCTCTTTGCTTGGACAGTGGTTCAGGCCTGCTTCTGTAGTCTGGTTAGGAAGACAGTGGTTCAGGCCTGCTTCTGTAGTCTGGTTAGTGCCGAGACTCCTCTTTGCTTGGCTGCTGTCACCTACCTGGTGGCAGAGCTCAGCCCGCAGCAGCCTTCAGAAAGGAGTGCAGATGTCCAGAGAACTAGTCTACGCCATGGAACCCACACAGAGGCCCGGGTGCTTCAGGTGCTCTTCACTTTGCCAGTAGCCGCATGTGTGTTCTGGGTCTGTGAACTTAGGACCACAGAGCCTATTCTTGTGTGTTCCTTTGAAGCACAAAACTGCAGTGTATCTTCCTGTGTCAGTACTACAACAGCATAAAGCCTGCTCAGTCTACCATGGCATGGGGCTGTTACAGACTAAACACCCAGCAAGGGGCCACACAGGCCCAGAAGCCTGGAGAAGGAAGATATGGTGCCTCTTGGAACTGAGTTTACTTAAGGAGAGCTTGCTGTGGTCAAGACAAAACAAAAGGCCAAAGTGGGTTACTGTAGCATTCTAGCAGATGAAGGCAACATGCCAGTTGCCAAGAGCCTCTTCCTGGTGATAAATTCCATGGCAGATGTATCATGTAGGCCTTAGGGACACTGTGAATCAGAGCGTCCTCCTCGCTTAAACTGTCCTGCAGACTGTAGTAGGACTCTATAGGAAGCCACTTCAAACCATACAAAAGCAGAGGCCATAAAGATGCTTAAATACCAGTGCCATGGAAGGGCCTTTGCCAAGGGCTAGCCTCGCTCAGACCTGGCTGTGTTGCTTCCTCGTATTCTAACCCATCAGATAAAATTTAAATAACGGTAAGAGGGAAGCTGCGTGACGGTCTGTGAGGTAAAGCATGCCACCAGACCTGACTGCCTGAGTTTGATCCCTGGGTCCCACATGGCAACAGGAGGGAACTGACTCCTATAAACTGTCCTTTGATGTCAACATGTACACTGTGACATGCACATGCCTGTATGTATGCATGCACACAATTATTTATGAATTTTATTATTTTAATATATAATTTTAGTATTTTAACATATAATCAATTTATGAAATTGTATTAGTAATTTAATTGTTAATAAATTGTGTTAATAATTTAATTATTAATAAATTAATAATGATTTAAAGAAAACTTTGGAGCTGCTGTGATGGCTCAGTGGTTATGGTTTGTTGATCTTCTAGAGGACCTGGGTTCAGTTCCCAGCATCATATGGTGGCTCACAACTGCATGTTAACTCCAGTTCCTGGGGACCCAACACTCTTCTGGTTTCCTTACACTCTAGGCATACATGTGATACACACATACTTGAAAGGAAATATGCATACATGAAAATATATGTTTTAAAAATGAAACCGTAAGAGGCGGATGGTCGCATACACCTCACACTTTCCCAATACAAACTCTATAAACTATACTTTGGGTAGGAGCTTAAATGGCCAGGGATTAGAGATTGATCTGTCTGGGGCCAGAAGTAACAGCTTAGTGGTAAAATACTTGCCTAGTATGCTCAAAGCCACAAACTAAAAAGGGCCGCAGTAGCAGCAGCAGCATGTGTTTGATGGTCCTGGGTGCCGTGCAATTGTGGCTAGAGGTAGGATCCATTGGCCTGAAGTATTGGGTTTCTGGACAACAATGCTGGCATTTCATCACGAAGATTAAGGCTTGTCTCAGTTACACCCGAACCACCTGTTAGAGAAGTATGTCCGGGAAATGGCAGGAGCTCACTATAGCTTTCAGCTTCTGAGTCCAAAAGACTGTATCAAAGCCCCAAGTGGGAAATGGACGAGTTCATACCTACATGCTCTCGAGACTCATCGTGGCCTAAAAAGATATGAGCCCTGCACGGACTGCGTATGGGGAAGGCACAGGGTAAGGTTAACTCAGACATGCTTGCTCCTCTGGAGCTGCTCTGCGAGCTCCAGGCAGTGCTGTTTCTATATGGGGAAGAGGGGTGCTTCAGAGAGAACTGCTTGCCCATGCTGTTTTATCAACTATAACAACAGGATGCATACTTTTTGTAAATAAAAACCAGTACTTTTAGGTTTTGTGGATAACACATTCTCTTACAACGCTCAACTCTCTCCTCCACCACAAAACCACAGGAGTGTGGCTGTGTCCCAAGCCAAGCTGTGCTTATGAAGACAGGTGGTAACCCAGATTTGGCCCATGGGCTGCAGTTGGCCCTGGTATATATAGGCGCTGTCTAGTCTGTATTCATTCAGTGTTCTGCCATAGCGTCATGGCTGGCATGCTGGCATGTTTAACGTGTACTGTGAGAGTCACATAAAGGCATGTGATCAGTAAGACTCATGCTAAATACTGCAGTCACTCATACACACTGCCTGATGGCATTCACTGCCTTGGACAAGGGTGGAGACTACACAACTAAAGATAACAGTGACACTGACAGCTGCGTGTGGTGATGCACATCTGGAATTTCAGGAGTCAGGAGCAGAGGCAGAAGCAGTCCAAGGTCAAGACTAGACTGAGATACACAGGGACGAGACTACCTGAGTTCCATCCCTGGACCCCACACCACAAAAGGAAAGAACTGACTCCTACAAGTTGTCCTTTGATCTCACCATGTGAACTGTGACAAACGTGCACATAGCTCTGCACACACATAAATTAGCAATCTAAAAAAATGCTGGGGCTAAAGAGAAGGTTCAGTAAAAGAAGAAGGAGGGAGGGAAGGAAGGAAGGAAGGAAGGAAGGAAGGAAGGAAGGAAGGAAGGAAGGAAGGAAATCCATGGTCATCCTCAGTTAGAGTCAGAGGTCACCTTGGGTTACCTGAGACCTGTCTCAACAATAGCAACAACAATTACAACCTCAAAAAAACATTGGAAGCCCTTTCTCTTAAAAAAGAAAAAAAATGGGGTTTGGCCGGGCGGTGGTGGTGCACGCCTTTAGTCCCAGCACTTGGGAGGCAGAGGCAGGCGGATTTCTGAGTTCGAGGCCAGCCTGGTCTACAGAGTGAGTTCCAGGACAGCCAGGGCTACACAGAGAAACCCTGTCTCAAAAAACAAACAAACAAACAAAAAATGGGGTAGCGGTCTGTGGTCTGCTTGGCACTGTGAGGTGTGGGTGGGCGAGTCCTATTACGATGAGCAAGTACGAGACAGAGAGATGGGAGAGAAAGAGAAACAAAATGGTTTGTGCCCTCTGAGGATGTGAGGAGAGGCAGACTGGACATGCAGCTGCTGGGCTGAGAAACAGCCTGATGTGAGTGGCCTGGCCTGCGCGGCCACCTGAGACCACGTCTGGGCCCATGGCCATGCGGCAGCAGGGGTCTGAGTCGATGGCCCATGTTACCACCAAAGGCCATGTGGACATCCCTGGTCTGAGGTGTTGACTTGGGCCATGTTGATTTCCATGGGCTGTGCTGAGCTGGGCTC